TCAATTTAGAGCTTGGATATGTTGGCTTGGCACTCGCCCTACTAGGAAAACTGGCCGTGTCTGGTGTGTTTGCAGTTATATATAACTTCACAGCAGAACTATTCCCAACTGCTTTAAGGCAAGTTGACTAGTAAACTATTATGCTTTGTGATTTAATATTACAATTTCAACTGCGTTTTATAAATTAAGGGCTAAAGACACTTTTAATTAAACAGATGATGCGGAAGTTCACATCACAAATTAAAATTTAAAAATTTGATTAAATACAATTATTTTTTTATATTCTATTTGTTTCGTTGGGAATCGATTTGTGTCAACATCATTTTAAATATATGTTCTTATTACATATTAAACATAGACAATTAGCTGTTACCTTTTTAGGGTTGAAATGTTGCTGAGGTTACAAAATATAATATTGATTGGTTGTTTAAGGCAGTGTTTCCCAATCTATGGGTCGCGGAAAAATTTTCTTTGGTCGTTTTTTTCAACAAAAACCTAAAAGTTACTAATTTTCATGTTTAGGGAATTTTATTGTTTATTTTATATTTGGTATTGAAGTGTTGTTCAATTGTAATTGTATACGGGGGAAGTATCACAACGTAAAAACTCTGCATTATTTACTTTGTTTTGCTTAATTAAGGGTCCACTCCCTAACGAATGAACATTTTTTTAAACTAAATATTTTCAACAGAGCAACAGCAATCGGGTGCGGTTCAATGGCTGCGAGACTTGGTTCGTTGATGTCACCTGTTATTATAATGATACAATACCACGTCCCTTGGTTTACAGGAGTGAGTTCAATATATTATAGATAGATTCAGTAGACTATTTTTGACATTTGCTTCTAAAGGGCTCACTAATAGCACCCCCACGAATGGGTAGTAATAATAATGGCATCAGACCAATTTCATTTAATTTTATAACGCGCACTGTTTGAATTTAAACAGTATTTTTCACTGTTGCACAGCATCTATCAATTAGATGAATATGTGAATTTGACAGATTGTTCTTCACTATACAGGCCGTCTTTGGTATCTTTTCGTTCATAGCGGGACTGACATGCTTACTTTTACCTGAAACCAACAACGTTCCTCTCACTACGACACTAGATGAAGCAGAAAAATTTTATTCAAATGCAAAGTAGGTCACACTTTCGTAATACCACGACAGTATATGTTTTTTGTGGATTCTTTGTGTCAATTTGTTCACTTGAACATTTTTCAGGAAAGAGATTAAAAGAGAATCATCAACTGGAGAAGTTCTCATTGCCAACGAGTATAATATGCGAATGAAACACTGAACAACGTTCAAAAAACTTTGCCAGTGACCAATTCAATTCCCTGTTACATCGATCGATGTAATTGCTAATGAATAAATAAATTTATGCAGCTTTTTTTTTAAATAATTCTACCACAATTGAATTGTAAGGAACTGTATTGAATGAGAAAATTTGCGAATTTTTAATTTTACGTCTGGGAAGTTGGATAAATGCTGTCTCGGTTATATAGAATTTCGATTGACAAGTTAGCAGTACAGAAAAATTCGAGATTAGTATGGAAGAGCCAAAAGATACGGGTCATCATAAACCGAAACAAGTGAACAATTTACATGTGTGGATGGTGATATTGTTACTGATAGGATGACATAATTTAAAAAAAAATGTGCAGTGAAAGGAGTCTATTTCTAAAAGATTTTATCCTAAATTATTGTTGCTGGATTGACACAGTTGCCATTTCTCATCACTGAAACTGATTTCAAAGTGATTAGTGATTAATGAAACTCTGGATGGACACAGGTTATTGATATTCAATACATCGGAAAAGAGAATTAAAAAGTTGTTCCTACTTTCTTGATGATTTTCCGCGTGTTCGTGCAGAATATTATTAAAATTGGATAAATGGCTTACAGTTTGTCGATAGGGTTGGTAGCTTACCATACATAATATACTGCCAAGAATATGCATATACCGACAACATGCATATATATACAGCATAGCTAACTCAATATACAAGTACTGCAGTCATTAAGGTGATGTACAGCAGAGTTAGATCAAATACATTAATTCAGTTCAATTACAAATACAATTACTCCGTGAAAAAAATATAAATTACATTTACAACTATAACGTTTTGGTTCGTACATTTTCCCTGGCTCAAAAACTGTTAGATTGCCCTTGATGAAGATTAGGCTACGAAAAGTTTCTGAACCCAATAAATTACTTCTTGTTGTATAAAAGTTACCCGCAATTGAAAAAATTCTTTCTGACTGGGATGATGTTGCTGTTAGTCCCAAATAATCCTTGGCTAAAGACGCAAACGTGGAAAATTCTTCTGATTTCTTCTTCCAATACATTTTGGGTTTTCATCAAATTGCAAAATTTCTTCCCCCAAATAGCTATCTACTTAACTTTCTGATTTTATTTTTTAAATCTTCTGCAATCGCTGGGAAGAAGCAGTTTGAAAAAATGACTCGATAGGTGGTTGGCTATGATCAACCTTAGTCTTCATCGTGTTTTCCTGATTTATTTTTTATGATTTATGTATTTAGGATATAGATGGGGAGAACATCTCTTCAAGGGCGTGATCAAGTTTGACGAAGCAGTTGTTGCAGCATGCCTCAGTGCTGCTCAAATATTAAAAAAAACTCTGACAATGGTGTAGGAAGTGGTTGTTTGATGTTCATTCATTTTTAAAATACTAAGATTTAGTATAATTGAAGGTGTAATTGAGCCAAAATTTTAGCATATTACAATTACACAGAATGAAAATGCCTCCATTACAATTACATAAAAAACTGTAATTAATTACATCAATTACAATAACAAATTACAATTGATCCAACTCTGATGTACAGACACTGCCAAGTCATATGCATATATAGCCAACTCAATAAACAAATACAGTCAATAAGGTACTGTAAAATCTGCCAAATAATTTAATAAGAATAAAATTTATATATATATATGCGTTTGCATCTACGAATTATATGCACATTGGGGTCGTTCATATAATAAACGCATTAAAAAGCGTAAAAAACGTCAAAGCGGCTAGTGATAGATACGATATTAGCATGCAGGGGTAAAGCTTGACTTACATGTTGATTGAGCACAAAAACAAAAACAAAAAAACTACCGGTGTTACCGTAGTACATGATAACTATACAATAGGTAACAATCTATAATATCATAATACGCTAAACAGCTCGTCGTTGATGAAAATCTCTTCTCAGTGAACTAGTCTTTGGCTATTGACAATAAACTGTCCACAAAATAATCAAACTAACGCTTGGTGTAAAATATAAAACTGCTGCTGCGCGTAGTTATTGATAAATAGGCATCAATCTATGATGTTACAATATCCCACAACAGCTCATCTTGGATAACATGAAAAATGTAATTCAATTGAAACTGAGTTCTGTAACTTTAATTTTCGATAATAACAGCTCCTTGTTAAAAAGGCCATAAACATCAAACACGGGTTTTGATCAAAAACCGAAAGTATATTTTTTTATTTACTGTAATTATGACTGTGTTCAATAAAATAATAAAATCCACATTTATATATTAACAAATAAAATGTCCAATTTCGACCAAATGAAAATAATTTACTCTTCTGAATACTCTGTGGAGAAATATTTTTGAATCTAGAATATATTTTGAATTGGGCCATGGGTCGGAAGAAACCCTAATATAACAACAAACAAAACGAATTTCTAGGCCTCAAAGCATTTAATAGATAAATCACTATCGTGTTGTTCGAAGTGGAGTATGTCCCATTGAACCCCGGACCCATTGTTCCCCACAACCGTCAAACATTTTCAGACTGCTTCATGTCAGAATTAAAAAGGTACATCCACTCGCCAAACGTTATTAATATTTCACGGTGAACTAAAGCTAAAATATGCCCAATAGTTGTTTGCCCTGAAGAAGAAGTAAAGACTGAGATGGCGGATTTTTGTTTCAACCCCCTAAAACGAATTTCATCTCATATCTTGCGTTGCTCTGCAGTCCGTTAGTGGAGACGTTACAACTCACCGAAAGACGGATAGAAACTTTAAAACGAATGACTGATTATGGATATAGTATGAGTGCGAGAGATCGTTTTCCACTGTACCCCATGTCCCACCGTTGCTCACCTTTATCTAATGCAGTGGTTCCCAACGTTTTCATCTTAATTTCGCACTTCCGATTTAGGCTGAGTTTTCACTCCCCACAACATATCGACTTCCCTTCAAAATAATAATTTTTCCGTCAATAATAATTGGTAGGACTTTCTTTATTTTATTTCATTTTATTTATTTATCTATTTTTGAAAATGCGCATTGTTTAAAAAGGACAAGGAGTTCAGCTTCAACTTTGACGCCGCAGACTTGCTCAGCAGAATATCAGCACACCCTACCAGGCAACTATTTACCAATGTCTCACCGGCTTTTTGGTACTCGCTATTCGCAGTGCAACTGCATAAGACGCATTCACTATTGACTTTAAACTTAACTGATATTGTCCCATGTTGTGGAATGACGCATGAAATAATCCTGCGTCAAACTGAAATCATTATAACTATCTATACATGATTAACATTCGTTTTGTAAGGTTTGAAGATTGCTGAAGAATTCTTTTCCAATTCATTGAATATCAATAAGCTGTATCCATCCATCGATTACTAATAACTTTGAAACACTTTCAGTGATGAGTAATGACAACTTTGTTGCACGCGATATCTCACGAAAGCGAGGTTGAATCTGCTCCGAATTTTGCATGTGCATTCACCATAGCTCGGATTGATTTTCGATGAATTATGTCGTATAATTAGCAAGTTATTAATTAATTAGTGCTGGGACACACGGTGCCACTATGGAGTAAGAGCGCTGTTTTGGGGTATCCCCTAACATCCGATCGATAAGTCTTCGGTCTCCGACCAATATTTTCGTTTGCATATTATCTACTTGCTATTTCTGTACAAACGAAAGACGACGAAGAATTGACAAAAATATTTTTCGTCTTAACTTTTGTGGGCAATAAGATCTTCCCCAGTTGATGATTCTCTTTCAATCTTTTTTCTGAAAAATGTTCAAGTGAACCGAAATGAAAAACAGAATACAGAATCCAATACAAATCGATACTGTCGTGATATTACGTAAGTGTGACCTACTTTGCATTTAAATAAAAATTTTCTGCTTCATCTAGTGTCGTAGTGAGAGGCACGTTGTTGGTTTCAGGTAAAAGTAAGCATGTCAGTCCCGCTATGAACGAGAAGATACCAAACACGGCCTGTATAGTGAAGAACAATATGTCAAATTTACAAATTCATCTAATTGATAGATGCTGTGCAAGCAGTTAAAAATACAGTCTTATACTTTAAACAGTGCGCGTAATAAAAATAAGTCAAATTGGTCTGATGCAATTATGATCACTACCTATTCGTGGTGTGGGTGCTATCAGAGACCCGTTTATTAATCGAATGTCAAAAAAAATCCATTGAACTCACCCCTGTAAACCAAGGGACGTGGTATTGTATCATTATAATAACAGGTGACATCAACGAACCAATTCTTGCAGCCATTGAACCGCACCCCATTCCTGTTGCTCTGTTGGAAATATTTAGTTTCAATTTTTTTTCAAATTATTGTAGATACACAGGTAGCTTCCTACATATCGTTAGATATCAACGTCAACATCGTTAGATTGATGCTTATATAGGGTCTTGTTAGACGCGAAAGGCGTGAAGCAGCGTTGTATAAGACAAAAGAAGTTGAGTGAACCCTTAACCCAGTGGTTCCCAGCCCTTTTTTCAAGTTCATTTTCTAAAAAATGAATTTTGTGAAATCTCGCGACCCAAGGGTATGCTTAGATACTAAATGACATGTAGTAATTTTATGGTCGCAAAATTGAATGACTAATAGAAAATAAAGTGAGTAAGCTGCGCTTGTTTGCCTTCAGCGATGTTTTGAAATCGGAGGTGACTTTACCTAAGCAAAACAAAGTAAATGCTGCAAAATTTTTACGCTGTGATACTGCCCCGTATACAATTAGTATTGAGCAACACTTCAAAACCAAATATAAAATAAACAATGAAATTCACTAGAAAAATAAATTACTAATTTTTAGATTTTGATGAAAAAAATACGACGACCTAAGAAAATTTTCACGCGACCACTATGTTGGAAAACACGGCCTTATAACCAATTGATAATATACTTTATAACATATAAGCAACGTTTCACCCTTAAAAAGGTAACAGTTAATTAATTGTCTATGTTTAATATGTAATAAGAACATATATTTAAAAATATTGTTGACACAAAACGATTCTAAAAGTAAAAAATCAGTTTTTTAAATCGTGTACGAAAGAAAAAGTGAAAAAATACTGTATTGTATGTAATTCGATTCAATCAAATTTTTTGAGTTTAATTTTGTGATGCGAAGTGTCGCATCATCTGAAGCAATTAAAAGTGTCATTTGCCTTAATTTCAAACACGCAGATGAAATTGTAATATTAGATCAAAGCATAATAGTTTGCTATTCAACTTGCCTTACAACCGTAGGAAATAGTTCTGCTGTGAAGTTATATATAACTGCAAACACACCAGACACGGCCAGTTTTCCTAGTAGAGCGAGTGCCAAGCCAACGTATCCAAGCTCTAAATTGTTTTGAATATAATTTAGTGTCACAGAATTCCTTTAAATAAAATCGTATCAGTATTAGATGAGTTTGTTATATTATGCAAGTAATGCGGAACAGTTAAAAAAATGCAAAATCAGTGCCGCCCGTTCAATACAAACGACGAAAAAAATGGTTTCGTTATTTGATATCAATCAGCAGGTTTTTGAAGTGGTAGATAGAACCGATGAATATACGATATAAATCACACTTTCTTACTTCACGTAACATGAACTCTCGTCCACTTCACAGAACGAGTATAACAATATTTAGTTAGCTTATTAAAATCAAATCCTATGCTGATGCCAATGAATTGAATTGATATGTAATTTACAGGGTATGCATAGCAAGTGTGTCATTAGGGTTAAATATTCAAACAATTCAAGAGCATGTTCGTCAAACCTTTTATGTCTGATGAGAAGTGATTGCAAACGGCTGACAAAATACAGGATATTCCTCCAAGTAAGAAACCAATGGATACAATCGGTCTTCTTCCAAATCTATCCATTGTTAATATTACAATAACACAAGATGCAATCTCACAAACTCCTCCAAGTAAATTGTTAACCCTGTCGTCACCTGTTATGTAAAATTACCGGAGATACTGGGCCAATTCTCAATGCTTTATTAAGTGGATTCGAAAACGCATATAGAGAAGTATAATGAATGAAGAATGACACTGAAATAAACAAGTTGTTGGGCTTGGACTAGTAAAAATAATAAACCACCATCATCAATTATATTTATTCGGATAAATATTATCGTTGTCGTTAAAAATATTCTCTGGTATTCGATACTTAAATTGAGTCGAGGCTAAATAAACTTCGGGGCTCCCGAAGTATGCGAACCAAGATGGCGGACATCGGAATGTACTATGTTAGGGTTAGGCCATAATTTTAGGTATAAATACTACGGGAGGCTCTTGGCTAGTCTTCGAACTGATAATAGGACTAAAATAAGGAAAATTGGAAAAAAATTATCGCCTAACCCTAACCTGTTACCCATGTTACGTTCCGATGTCCGCCATCTTGGTTCGCATACTTCGGGAGCACCCAAACTTCTTTGTCATTTGGCTTTAAACAAATTGGTTTGCTTTTTTCAACACGATACAATAATGCAACCATTGTTTTAAGGCGCGTGACGAGGCCGTCTATCGTTCAGTTTCTTATCGCACATGAGGTAAACTGGCTGGAAATAATTTCAAAACGCCCATTATCAGTAACAATTAATAGTTTGTTTCCATTCTGAAAAATCGCACATTTTACGGGAAATATTCTTTTACTATGAGAAATATGAGTTGCTAACGCCCTATGGTCTCGGACTTTTCGGCAACAAAGTTGCAATCAACACAGATTTCTGCTGCTTTGAAATTTTAACTGGTTAAAATTTGTATTTTTCCCTAGAAGCTATTACTTTATTTATTTCAAAATGAAGCTCTATATGGGATTTGTTATTTGTGTGCGATGACATCATCAAAAATTGCGCACTTTATGGCAGTTCCGCTTTTGCGATAGTCGCGTACCCATGTTTATCACGTAGTCGCGTACCATCTACTGCGTCAGATGGATACCCGTACTACTTCGTTTTGGCTTTCGTGTCCATATATTTTAGCATCGCACTCTTGTGATTAATTTAAGCTTATCTAAGATGTTGCAAAAAGTAGAGGTTTCAGTCACGTGTAGACCTTCACTATGATTAGAAACTTTAATCAGATAACATCAAGGTAGGCTGATTCAAAAAGAAATGCATCAAATACCGATAATGATACTTGTATGTTCATGTGGAATGTTTGATTAAGAGAATAATGACTTTCTGTGTGATGCATGTTTGTGAGGAAGAAATAATCAATTTTACTGATGCTAATTGGTATAAATTCACAGAGTTGACAAAAAGTTGGGCAGCGATGACAAGCTATGCAGGGGTTGAAAGAATTGTAGCATAGGAAGTGACGGGGAGCTGAGAAATCCCGTATGTGGTTGTAGACGGACAGCGGAGTATATAATGGTACTTTTTTATTTGCCCGAAGACGTCTACTATGTTATTCCAATTTGTTTTAGTCGCGCATTCCATACAGCAGAAGAAAACAGCGATATTCACGCATATTGATATATACTTGCAAGAATGAAATGAATCGAAGAAGACGAAGGAAAAGAGAGCGCGGTATGCTTCAGAATTCAAAATGTTTTGCGAAGGAAAACCCCAAACACTCTGTTCAAGACATACATCAACACGCTTAGCTTGATTATGTTTCAGGCGAAATAACATTTGAAAAGATAACTTACATTCATACAAGTGGCCTTTGTGCAGTGAACTGAGTTTTGTGGATGTCATTTCAGTCAGCGACGTCATTGAAGCCAAAGTAAACTTTGAATCACGTTCATATATCCGAATGTATCTAAAAGATTTTATTAATAACTACGGCCCTTATTTTTAGCATCGGCCTCCCACTTCGGAAGAGTTCGATGATGATGCTGTGAAAAAACCCGTACCAAAGTTGCAGGTCAAATTTGCCGGTCCGATAACTGGGCATAGGCCTCATCCTTTGTGTGTATATATTGAAGAAAGAGCTGCCGAAAAAATATTTATATGTGTCAGAATACCCTTCATCTCTCGACCGAAGTATAGATGCAGGTATCCAAACACATGCCGCTCGCTATTGCAGTGCGTCATTTGATTGGATCGCTGAGTGAGAAATTACACATTTTTTTTTGTGCCAACGATACTAATTTCTGACTTTATTGCATAAGAATAGACTTGCTGTAATTGTAAACCTGTGGTTGTTGGTTTTCGCGAATTCCAGTATACCCAACTTTTGCATCTTAGTTTTCAAAGCAACTTTTATAAGAAAAGTGTAACTTTTGTTTGCATGGAACAAGCTGGAATGCGTTCAGTAGGCATACGTTCATTTTCATACAAAATTGAAAGATTGTTTAGTTACCACATGTGCGCTACAAAACTCATTTTAGGCAACTTTAAGGGAGGGCCTTGTCTCACGACTTACTTTGTGGTTCTCGCCCACGATGCCTGTGCTTGCTTATTATGCCATGATGGTCTACCGCTGTAAGTTCTTGTTCACCTGTTCAGCGGTCATTAGTTCTAAACTTGGTCCAAATAAATTGTGGGTAATTTTGTAATGATTTTGTTATCAATGCCAGTTTCAAAGATATAAAAACAATAACTTACCCGCCAAGCTTCCAACGTTGAGAGATAATCCATAATAGACTAACGAAACAACAAACCAACAGAATACAATGTTAATAGTTACGCGTCTCATGTACGGCCTTTTCAATAAAATGAACGGGTACGGATACATGTTGTCAACTTCATCCTGAAATGTTTATTCAATAAAAACATGTATGCATGGACCCGCTGATATTGTAACCTTAGAGTCGATTGAAGAAGCTGAAATACAGCCAGTGTACGCAAATTTGACAAATTGATTCTTGTCGATTCGAATTTATTAATTTTTTGTTCAACTTTTTACTGAGTCCCATGTGATCATTTATTTACTCCAAATTGCAATGTTTTACTTAAATTTATAGAAACATATTTTGTTTTCGTCAGACATGACCGCCTCAGTCACCACGTCGGTTTCAAGAAATACTTTAAATTGCAAAATGCCTGTACCGATTCATTTTGCACCGTCTTTGTATTGGCATTCATAATAAAAATCCTATTTACTGACAGCAATGAATGTTTCCCCGATCCTTTACCCCAGAAAGTTTTTATACTTATACTTATTCTCTACCATTGCAAAAAAATCTAAATATAAAGACTATATTGGTATTGGGCGAGTGCAATTTAATCCACATGTTCAAAAAATACATGTCATTCCAAAATTTACGAACAACTGCTTTTTGGAAATACTGACAGGGTATTTGGAGCTAAGTCCATTCCGTTTTGGGATCGTTTTCATCAGTTAAATTAATTAAATGTCCATTTTCCAGAAAATAACAATGAAGTCGTTGCTTGGGGAAACATCCATTGGACTATATAGATAGAATTTTTCAGTGCTTTTTTTCAACTCAATCATGCATCATTTAAAGTTGAACAAAGCTTGTTAATTTCAAGGGTAACTTCTCATAAACTGTAATATACCTGACCTCATTATTAATAAGAGCTTTTTCCCAAATATCAGGTAATAGTTTTCGACCGTTCTTTTCAGCAAGTTTATTAGAAATTTTTTTGGCTTTCTTCACTTGACCTCTTGATAGTAGCCATCTAAAACCATAATCATTTAAAATATACTCATCATTAATTTATCGAAACATTTCACAGATCCCTCATTACTCCTAATCTAAAAAGTTATGGCCAAGTGTTTATAAATGGCTTTTAAGAAAAGTTTATTCAAGAAACTATTCAACGACATTCCAATTAATTCGAATTACAGTAGATTCAATATAAAAATCTTACAATATAAGGAATTTGGTTGATGAAAGTAGTCAAAATATAGGCTGATTATCAATACCTTGGTGATTCTGGAACGAAAAACCATATGATGAAATAAACTGCAGAAAACATGGCGATGGAAAGTTGAAGATGGCGCCAATTTCTCCAGTTATATGAAAGTCCGGATAGAATCATATACCCAATTGCAAACACTATCTGAATACTGATTCCAATGAAAGTTCTCCATTTATCACCAACGATTTCAATAGCTGAAAAACATATTTTGAGAAGTTTTGAGAAGTGAATTGTGCTGTTTCACGGCAATCTGCGAACATAATAATGTGAGAATATATTGCTCGATTATATTTAGTTTTTGCGTTCTTTCGAATTTGTTATCGCCGTTAGAAAAATCTTACTATCTGCTATAAATTTCCAGAGAGTACAACGTGATATTGTACTTATTAAAATATTTATTTAAAGTATATTAGTAAATCAAAAATACATATTCATCGTTTTGCTTTATTACTAATTTAATTGTGATCAATTTAATCTGTGGTTGTGTTGAGGAAATAAAAGCAATACCACTCAGAAAATACTATGACAATCCGTGGACACGAAAATGCGTGGTAAAGTGCCCGCTTATATTTTGTTTTGATTCGTATTATTGTGAACTCGACAAATCTGAGCTGTTCCTACAAAACTTACGTCGCTCCAGTACTGTACGTACCAATGTGAAGGCATGCAGTAAAGCAAAGAATCCTAAGGGAAAATGCCCTGGTACGTATACTACGGTAGCATCCGAAATTTGCAATGTCTGAAAAAGCGTTTTTAATCGGTCGCGGACCATCATAGAACAAAAGTTATGGTGTTCTCCGTTTTATTTTTAGTATTTTGTATTGTCGCTTTTCAATTTAGAAAATTTGGGTTGCCACCATTGTCACCTACCTGAAAAAAAAAAATTAGTCCTCATTGTTCGAACTCATGTAGGTAACTATCGAAGCGTGTACAGACTCGTGTGTTTTCGTCGGAAATCCGCAAGTGAGTTGTGAAATCCAATCGTCTGTGACCTGTCGCGTCACGTGTTACCAAATTTTAGAATAATAAATTGCTATTCTAATAGTTGAATATTCGAATATATTTCCAGCCCTGCTCAGTAACCAGAAATTATTGACTCGATTAATACTATGTAAATAAACTTGCTTTTTATGTTTTATGTAAATTCTAACGTAAATCGTACCTTGGCTGATAGTTAAGTTTGGCAAAAACGTTTGCGGCCCGCAGTGAATTTCTGACTCGTTGCGGACTCATTTGCGTTTGAATGAGTCCGCAACGGACTCGGGTTGGGAAACACCGTTTTACAGTGACCGTACCTGGTTCACAATACATCGCGTCACCGGTACGGGATAACTTTCTCGAATCAAGATTTCGTAAATGAAGAAAGAAATCAGAGATGAAGAATAATACAGTGAAATTTTGGATGAAATATCAGATCTCCTGAAGAATTCATAGAAAATTTAGGAATAAATTAAAGTAATACCGTCCTAGCGAAAAATACAGTCCACTGTCCACTGTTTAACCACTGAAAATTCCAAATCAATTGGTCTAGTAGTTAAGGAGAGAAGCGAGTTATCATAACAACAAAAACATGACCAACAATAACATAATTTTGAAACGATCTATAGGTCAACTTCGTGTCAAATAGGATTAAATGAGTGAGAACTCATAGCCAACCGTGATTTTCCGACGCGAAAGAGTTTGCATAGTTCGGACTCTAAATTCGAGTGTGACTCACCCAACAACTATAGAATAACACTGCTGCACAGTAAAGGTTCCAGGGTCATCTAATACATAATATTCTAAACCAGTATTTAACAATCCTTGTTACGGTCCCCGCAGTTTATTTACCAGTCCGCAAAACATTTTACTGTTATGTTATTTTTCTGCCTACGTAAACGCTTGGTTGTACCAAAAAGACTAAGTTATATTGCTTAATTTGGGCGATTTGTCTTCTGTCTGTCAAATACTTGTTGCTATTTGATTCCTTTGGCCGACGAGTAATCACACGTATATATCACGTTCGAAAGCGATGGTAAATTATTGCAAGTGTCGAAAACCAGGTTTTAATCCACATCAGCCTAACACAAAGATAAATAATTTTATACGAGTATTATCGTATTCAGGCAAAAATCAATAAATCTTGATTAAAACAAAGGCTAATATTTTATTTGATGCTACCATTACACCTGGGTATGGGAAGGTTTAAGAATCACTGTAACATTACTAATTAAGATAAATTATGTATTAGTTATATCGTGAGACACAATTAAGCAAAATTATACTGATTTTTTTTATGGAGGTCTAATAATACCTAAATGCTTACCATAAACAAATGAAGGTGGACCGGACGATATGCAAAATATTGCAATAAAAAATCTTGTTGCAGCAAATGTTGCTAAGTTAGGTGAAAACGCACAACCAACGCCAAATATAAAAGTAAAAACTTGTCCGATTATAAGCACACGCGTTCGTCCAAACCTGAATCAAATAAAACGTAGTTAATTCCAAATGAACTTCATAATAGCTTATTTGATAAAGTATTTTGTTTCCATTCCCAATAAAATGAACGAACTAAATTAAGTAAATCTTTTTAATTGGCTGTAGGAACGAGCAATAACCAACGAATTGCCTTTAAGTAATAATATTATACTATTTTATATATTTATTCATTGTATTTGATATACCTCGAATACAGCGTTCGCTTTGGTAGAATGTATATACTTATGTATATACTCATATGGTACATAAAATTTATTTTCCAACGTGCAAAAAATGGGTGAAATGGTATTAATTGGGTCGGAGTAGTAATCTAATTATCAACGAAAACCACGAGATCGTTTTGTAGTGCCATTGATCACATTGTATGATAAGGCTTCGTAGACTACAAATAGTGCACAGAAGTGGAATAGCTGTAATATATACATGATTTGTAATGAAAAATTGCATCAAAGTGCTTTTCTGGAAATGAATGCGATGACTACCTGAAAGCAAACAAATCGTTTATTGAACAACTGTATTTATAGATTTTATAGCCGGAATAGCTATTGATGGGCTACGACTTTAGCACGGCAAACCGCCATATTTTCCACTGATAAAACTTAATAAATGTTTTTCGCTTTAACGTATTTATACGAGTAGTCATCATAACGCAGTTCTGTGATTCATATAAGAAATATACGGTAACTGAAAAAAAGAATTTTCCGTTAAAATTTTCTAATGATATTGACTTGGTAATATTTGAGAGGTAGTTATATAATTTCGTCCTGTGTCCTCATGTATGAGGTAGGCGACGGCATATCATAAAATTTAAGGACCATTGTGCAAAAACTGTGTGTTAGATTTTTTCTATTCAAAAATTTGATTATTTAGTTATTGAAAACACCATAGCAAATATTACATGGCTATTAGCAGAAGAGTATAAAGTTTTAGGAGCGTTTAAGACGTACGATGCTAGATTTGTATTCATTTGAGACGTTAATTTTGCAGAAAAAGTTGTCAATTTATCATCATTTATTTGCGGCTACATCTTAAATGGGCCTCGTTTAACATATTGAATCTGGCCGCATTCGCGCAAGATCCAATCATAAGAATAAGTTTTATCGAAGTCAACAAAATATAAAATCACTGACCTGTCACCTAGATTTCCACCAAGAATTACGGCAAAGAAAACACCAACAAAATAAACAACTGATGCAAGTGTTGTAAGATACAATCGATCACATACAAGATCCCACTACAAGAACAATATTTCATTCTTGATTTGTATTTTTTAATCAAAAATCAAATGAAGTTTTACCTTAGATGAATATTTTGAAATATGAAGGATAGTTGTAGTGCACGTACACCCTATCTTTGTGTTGTTTTCATGACCATTAAAATATAGCCAGATTTGTTGGTGTATATATGAATAATTCTCAAAATACGGTATTATATACGTGGATGATGTTCTAAATTTTGGCTAACTTTTGAGGATGATAAATTGCAAGACAGAAATGTATCTCAAAACCGTAATTATGATTGCTCATTGCATATGGCCTATTGCGTATACTAAAACATACATCAGTCGTCGTTGTACTTTCGTAACTGCTCTTGTCAAAAACATGTCCATTTATGCACGAACTTGTTTCATTGGTAAAGCATTCTTCTAAATTAGGCAGGGTGCAATTTGTTCTATATGAATACTGCTTGCATCCATCATGTCTCTGTATATATATATATATATATTATTATTATTAACTAAAAAATACTATGTGATCATTGTATTTCGTCAACTTTAGACAGGCGAATCAAAGCAAGACGTGTTCAAATTGAAATGAAGTTGGTTTGCCAAGTCTCTACCTGCAACCAAAGGCAATTCAATTGCAGACAAATAATACTTTTGACTATTGTTATAGAATGAACACAACGCATTTTAAGTCGCAACAGTGGAACGAAATAGTTTAGAGCATGACTGCATTTTAAACTGCATAAACTAAAATTTTGTATATGAGGGCAAAATACTTTGCATTCCGCGCATACCGCAAAGACTTATGCCCTTACTTTAGTATTGGAGTCGATCGGAGTGGACACATCCAAAACAGTTTTGTTCCAGTTGGTTTGGTTTACAAACAATTCGTTGTCAACTTCTTGTATATAACACCTGTAATCCGGAATTGCAGAAAGGAAAACACTCCCGACTTGATTCATAGCCCCTGGAATGCTGATGTAATAAACAGCGAGTACCAAGAAAATTTGATAATTTCCCATAGCCCCAATTCCAGATAAAATTATGTCAAAATCATAATTTGTATATTTTCTTTTTGTTTTGACAGGACTGTTAGTACAATGACTTTCCATTTGATATTCGTCAATGTTCTTGATATCTCAAATTGATATATATATATATATATGTTTACCTATTTCGGAGAAAATATAAATCGATTTGACATTTGGCAAGGGAAATTGCATAAATATTTTAAGAGGAGATGGATGCAATTATTTACATTTATTGTACATTTGAATAAAAATATTGACTAACTATTAAGCAAGTTTATGAACAATGGCACCGTTGCTTAGGCTGGATATTTCAAATTTTAGTTACACCTTTAATTCGAACGTTTTGCACATACCTTCATCCTTGATGTTGAAATGAATGAAAAATCTAATGTGAACCTGGCCTTGGAGTCCAGGCCATTAACAATTTAAGAACAATGAATTTTGTGTGCATTTCGTTAAACTGATATTCTACCCTATAATATTCTCTTCAACTACAGTTATAGCAATTGAGTTTCGGTGATTATGAAGCCTCCAAGATTTGAATTAGCAAATTTAAATCCGTATGCTGAACAAAATATCGACAGTATATCTGAGTTTTACACCGGTTTGTTCATTTATATGTGACATACTATGACTATACATACTGTGAGGCATCTTCGGACTTCCCAGATCTACTATATACTACTACTGCTATAAATTTTTCAAAAATCTCACAAATATCGAGCGATAATCGCATATTAGTGGCCTTATCCCCAGATTACCACACGCTTCAAACCCTCAGTATTGAACCGAACATTTGACGTGTTCAATTTCTCTCCACCTTCCGGGCTACTTTGAGCTTAGTGGTCCAATGAGCGGACGAAGTCATTTTTTTCAAATGACGTATTGCCAAAAGCCTGTTACAATAGTTCCCGACAAAGCCCACTCATCGTTAAATAGCTGATAACTTTCTTAAAATATTGTTTTGAGGGAAATATTACTAGCAACCTATATATATTGCAAATGCCTTTACTTTTCCTACAATATTTTTTTGGTAAGATATTACTAGTGTCCGCACTGAAAACAAGGTAATCTATCCGTATTATTCAAACTATCTCGTGCCCAGTGACCCGTTTGCTTACAGCGGGAACATGGCGTATGGAGGTCCAAAATCTTCTTGATAATAGAAGCTCCGGATATCATCTCAGCCTCATCCCTAGAAACTTTTGCTACAGTATTTCTTGGTTTGGTTGCCTCTTTTGTGGGTTGCCATGGCCTTTCATAATATTGATATCTGGTAGCCAACGATATTGCATCTTCCAACAGAGCGGTTGCAAAAGACCAATGCTCAAACGAACCTTGTTGTCTAATCCTCGCAAAAATTGCGATTTTGCATAGTCATCCCTATCCAAAAGTTTCCCTATCCAAAAGTATGGTTAAGCTCGCCTAGCCAACTGCCTCGACGCAGCGCCAGATTCATTATAGGTTTCTCTTGCCATCTTCACACGCTGACTGAAAGAGGCTCAAAGCGCTTCAATACCACTTTCCACTTCGAAATATTTTTTAAAATGGCGTACGATAGACGCAAAGCATCCACCCTTCGCTCATAGTGACTTAGAGCAGGGCTTCCCAAACTTTTGAGCTCGCGGCCCCTTTTTAATATATCACATTTTTTCGCGGCCCTTGTCCACGTTAAATAATGCCGAACAGTTCGAATTATGCATTTTTGATGTTTTATTGGCACAGCTAATTCTCAACTTTAACATGTCTACTCAATAACAAAAACAAGCACATATTTATTCAGATTAACGTTTCTCAATTATTCAGTGTATTGGGTACGAATGCTTTTTCGGCATAGCAAGGCTCAATATATGTTTAAACAAGCCTAAATGGTGAATTACGATGTCTGGCTACCGACGGCATGGTCCTTATCTCGAATTGTTCACTCTTATTGATCAAACTTAGCATAAGGCAGCATTTTGTGCGACGCCAAATTATCAGGGAAAAAACTCATGGCGCATTCACACGAAAAATATATTGCCTCGAAACAAAACACAATTTTGTCATCGTTAATAGGTACTAAATGTCTATTGAGGTTTTCAATCATGTAGGCCCGAGGAATCAAGGCAAAAAGTTAACGTTTCTTTTTTTTTTTTATCTCTGCCTGGGTTTTCTTTAAAATGCTAAAAAATTCACTCAAGTTTGATGAATTTGGTTCAGCAAATGAATAAACTGCGGCCTATACGAAATTGCATCATGTACGGTTTATCTCTTATATTACGTAACAATAGACCCTACGTACAGAAAGTAAACACATAGAACGGCAAAATGACATTTGAAACAAGAAAACATTTAGAATAATTATGATGTGTAATATGATTAAGCGCACTCAGCAAATTGTCTTCGGAAACCGCTAGCCCAATGATTAAAGCCGTCATTGTTATGCAAACCGTAAATCGGGTTTCGCGATCAGAATATGCATTGTTATGCAAGTGCGATCATTCTACCGTGTTTCCCCGAGGATAAGACCAAGCCTGAATTTTAAAAAAGATTTCAATATAAACGCTCGCTTTTAAAAAAGACTTAGTCGATAGCGCAACTTTTTTTTGACTCAATCTCGTGGAAGTGCGTCGTTTTAATTTTGCTAGAACGTCGCAAAATTTCGTGATTCGTGAACCTTCCAAACAAACCATATCTTCTACTTTCACTGGGAAAAAGAAAGATTAAATCGATCTTAACTGTGATGTTGCTATAATAGAAAAGTTTAATTCTGAAAAATTCGGTTTTCAGTAGATAAAGATTATTTGTCCTTGGTTCAAAAAGCGTTGTGCACTCCTATCTTCTTTGAGATTTATTATTTATATAAAGCAGGCTTTTCTACCAAGGTTCATTAATTGCGATTTCACTGACTGTCGTTAAGTTTTGTTTGTTCGTTTATATGAAACTCATTGCGAAAAAGATCTTTTATTAAAAGGTATCAATACGTATTTTCACGGGTCGCAACTTGAGCATATTTTTGAAGGGCGTCACAATACGATGAAGTTCGAGAACCACTGCGTCCCAGTCGATCGCAAGAAATATTTTCTACTTTTTTAAATGGTTAATAATCTATACTTAGTAGTTATTTTAAATAAAAAACGTGCTATTTATAAGTAAATGGAAATCGGTATTCATATTTTGTATAATAAAAAAATCTCATTATTCTCTATCCCAAAAATAAGCCCTAGTGTTATTTTCGAAAGAAAATTGAAGACAATGTCTTATTTTCGGAAAAACACGGTATTATGATGATATATTCACTCGGAATCGTGAAATCTTTGTTTTACACTATTTGTATAATAATTGTATTTTGAATTAAGAGTCTGAAAAAGTATAATATATATGGTACTTTGTGTAAATTTGGTGTTTTCTTTGCGGCCCATAAAATTCGTTTCGCGGCCCCTCACAGGGCCGCGGCCCCTAGTTTGGGAAGCCCTGACTTAGAGCATTGTCTACCACGCAAATGCCTAATTCACTTTCCATCGTGTCCGTATCCCAACCATAAGACTTGGCTTTAGTCCTAAAATTTTCCAGAAAAGTGCCCCAATTTTCCGATCTATTAAATTTTTCCGGTTGTCGTTCCGGCTTGAACATAACCCCACATTCACTAGCGGAACCCTTTGTCAAAGGAGTAGAAAAACTCATCGGGTACATGGGCATGGCAGGTGGAGTCTCCATTTCCGGCTTTGGCCTATTCCCGTAGTTGTTGCGTGTGGTGTCTTTTCCGACACAATTTTGTCACAGATCATCCATTATCACACTACGATGAGGTGTCTATTCGCTTACCTCATTAGTTGTCTCATCATAAACTGACATGGGCGCTCTGGCTATTAACCATTGTTTCAAACACATTCTCCTGAATTTAATGTAGTGTCGTTTGCAGCTCCTCTCGCCAACTCCTCACATTTTGATGAGGTACCATCGCACTGTCACGTCACTGTTTTACATCAATCCCAAGTTCGTCCACTGCTCCTCCGATTCCTTCTACTCGTGCTGCCATTGTTGTACAATTTGCTTCCATTGTTATAAGTTTAGCCTCCAGTGTATTTATTTTACCACTGAAGTCTTCCTCTTTTTCCATTTTAGTGTTCTTTCTATTTTTGCGTGTCATCTCTAGAACAGTGGTCGGCAAACTTTATGTACTTGCGGGCCAAATATACACATTTCGGGTAGAGTGCAGGCCGCATTATTTTCGCTTCTGAACAATCGAGACATTAAACTTCAAATTATGGGGCACTTGCACTTTCTATTGCTGTGTTAAATTCTGTCACAATGAGAGGTGTATATGGCCTCTTTGAATATATTTTCAAACAACACATTGTTTTTATTCACTTATCATCAATGTGAAGGATAATGTTGTTTCTGTGTCAGGGTCAAAGCGATAAAATTAAATGCCAACTTCGTTGACACCCAGTGCATCGTCCAAATGACGATCTGACCAGCGAGTACGAAATTTATTCTTAGTGTCATACATTTTACATAAAGCTACTTACAGCAACATATTCTTTTGAATGTACACATCGCACATTATGCACTGGCGCACATATTAGCAGTAGCGCAGCCGTATTCCGAATGACACGTTTTGTAAGGACGATTAACATTAAATATCATAGTAAATGTGATGCCGACTGTTCATATCAAGTGAACTGAATTTGGAACGGGCAAAAAAGAAAAATATTTTTACGTTCAAGCACTTTGGAATGCTCTACCTTCATAGCAAAATTACCTCTGTTTTCCAGACATTATTGAATTTCAAAAATGAAATTAACTTTTAATTACAGCGATGGTAAACGACATAGAACGGACGCTACCTATTACAAAACAAGCGCCGTACAGCAGCACTTGTTACCACATAAATCTGGGCGCAGGCAATATTTAAGTAAGGATAATTTTTGCTTTATGCATTTAAAAGTCGGGCCTTCCAAAACCTGCAAAAATTAGTTCGCGGGCCACAGTTTGCCGGTCCCTGCTATAGAAGATATCATGGTGTGCTCTTGCCCATAATGAATTTTCCAATTTCAAAATATCTTCTAATATGCTCTGATGTCAATCTTCAATTAACGATATTTTAAATCTATTTATTTATTATTCATATGAAAACCTAATACAACCAAATACTCTAATAAAATCAACAAAACAGAAAAGGTACAATGAAAATAACAAACACAAGGCATCACAATGAAAGAAAACAATATACATATACAATAACCAAGCTAATACAAAACGAAACGAACTTGTATACTGGGCTTTCATTAGCTCAAACGTCAACTAAGAGTCCTAAAGCAGCACAAACCAAAAAATGACTTTCAAATCAAAACAGCATGTTTTATTAAAGGACGAACAGTATACGTTAGCAGGGTCGAATGTCGTGGCTGTTTTATGCGTTGATAGATTTCAAGACATTGATCACCAAACCTATTACAAACAATCAACCACAAAATCAAAAACAAACGCACCTGGCATCGCACTCAAGAACCAGCAACAACCCAACAGACATAAAAAATACCCCAAAACACCGGGGGTCTAATCGAAACAACCACAGCCGCAAATCGGTAGATTAAACAGCAAGACCGAAAAATGACGGGTTTGAACTGTTATGCAAGATCCTTGATGCTTGAAATCATGCAACAAGCTAAAATATCAGGAATACTTTTTGAGCGATTTTTTAATTTATGTGCATCTTGTATCAGATATTGGAACATATTTATTCGGTTCTTACAATTTTCACTGGTCCTTGGACCCCTTGAAAATATTTTTCAAGCCGCATGAGGGTCTGCGATACCCAGTTTCAGAACCCCCGGTCTGTGACGAAATGAAAAATATTTTATAAATGAAATAAAACGTCCGTTTTGTTTTGACATACTTGAATCACTTTCATGGGACTCATTTTTACTGTTCGCGACTTATAGCCTACTTGGGAACAGCTGCGATGTGAAATTAGTGGCTAGAATATTGGGCTTTATGCCTCTGTCTTTCATTGTCTATGCCCCCTGCTTCCAATCCGACGAACCCGTCTTTCAGTAGGAGGTTTTTCCAACTGTATAACCTTAGAAGACTGATAGCATTCTAGTTTGAATATATATAATAAATTCGGTGTCTGGAAAAATTTTAATTTTGTTGCCTGGTGTGACTTGATGAAGTCGTTGAGAGAAATCTTGGATCATTTATTTAATTTATGAACATTAGTTATGCTTAGTTTTTACTTTTAATGGCGCAATTGCACACGAAAACATGAATCACTTTGAGAAGGGCTACTAAACTGGCGTCATTGCAGTGGTCTCAGTGTGCAAGATTTGCCATTCTGGTATAGACAGACCAGATATATTTTGCACAAAATGTAACATTCACAATGTTTGAAAAACTGCAAAGTCGAGATGATATTTAAATGTAAATAAGAAGACTTCAGGCTTGACCTTGTCGATCGGAAGAAATGGACTAATTTTAAGCCAAATTATTAAGCAATCCTCCCAGAGTTGCATCGATCACCAATCACTTTGAAACAGTTTCAGTGATGAGCAATGACAACTTTGTCAATCCAGCAACTATTTAAAATAATATCTTAAAGAAATAGATTTCCTCCACTGTACAATTTTTGTAATTAGTAACAATTTCACAATTCACTCATGTGAATTTATCACTTGTTTTTGTTTCTGATGACTCGTATATTTTTATCTCTTCCATCCCAATTTCTCTTTTTCTGCGCTGCCTACTCGTCTATCAGAAATCTACGACACCGGGACAGCATTTAAATAATGTTAAAGACGTTGAATTGAAAAGTCCCAAATATTCTCGTTTGATACAGGTATATTGTAATTGTGGTAGATTTATTCCGAAGAAATGCTATATACATTTATTCAATCATTATCAATTACATTACCGATATAACTATGAATTTAATTAGTCATTGGGAAAGATCAGTGTTTCATTTGCATATTATCTACTTGAGATTTCTATACAAACAAAATAACGACGAAGAATTGACAAAAATATTTTTCATCTTAACTTTTCTGGGTAATGAAAACTTCTCCAGTTGATGATTTTCTTTTAATCTTTTTCCTGAAAAATGTTTAAGTGCACCGAAATAAAAAACAGAATACAATACAAATACTGTCGTGGTATTACGAAAGTGTGACCTACTTTGCATTCGAATAAAAATTTTCTGCTCCATCTAGTGTCGTAGTGAGAGGAACGTTGTTGGTTTCAGGTAAAAGTAAGCATGTCAGTCCCGCTATGAACGAAAAGATACCAAAGACGGCCTGTATAGTAAAGAACAATCTGTCAAATTTTTAAATTCAGCTAATAGATAAATGTTGTGCAATAGTGAAAAATACCGTCTAAATACAAACAGAGCGCGTAATAAATATAAATCAAATTGGTCTGATGTCATTATGATTACTACCTATTCGTAGTGGGTGCTATCAGAGACCCCTTTAGAAGCGAATGTCAAAAATAGTTTAATGAACTCACCCCTGTAAACCAAGGGACGTGATATTGTATCATTATAATGACAGGTGACATCAACGAACCAATTCTTGCAGCCATTGAACCGCACCCGATTGCTGTTGCTCTGTTGGAAATATTAAATTCAAAAAATGTTTTATTCATGTGAATTATTATAGGTACAGAAGTAGTTTCTTACATATCATTTGAGATCAGTGAATGATTGCACAGGGCATTGTTGGGAGTGAAAGTCGTGAATTGGGGGCGTATAAAAAAGAAAAAAAAGAGACCGTTGAACACCGAAATTTTTCACTTTAACACGCCAACAGCTAATTTTCTGTTTATTATGGAATACTCTCATGTGTTTAAGTAATGTTGGCACAAAACGATACCCAAAGAAAAAAATTCATTTTTTTGTTCATTCCATGGCAAAGTGAATATATAATTCCACAAGAAACAATTTTATTCAATACTACTGTTAAAAAAAAGTCTTTCGACAATGAATCACAATTGACTAATCTACTTGCCTTACAACCGTAGGGAATAGTTCTGCTGTGTAGTTATATATAACTGCAAACACACCAGACACGGCCAGTTTTCCTAGTAGAGCGAGTGCCAAGCCAACGTATCCAAGCTCTAAATTGTTTTTATTTTAATTTATTGTCACAGAATGTTCTTTAAATTTTTAAATGGTATCGGTATCAAATGAGTTATTTTATTATGCAAAATAATGCAGAACAGCTGCAAACTGCAAAATCATTGTTAAACGACAAAAAAATTGGTTTCATATTAATCAGTAAGTTTTTAAAGTGATAGAATGGTATCTTATACGATAAAATTTCCTGCTAGAAATGTTTCTGTTTTTCAGAGATTGATATATAAATCGATATTATCGGCGAAAAAATTCGGCTTCAAATTAATCAGTAAGTTTTTGAAGTGAAAGATCTCATTTACGATAAAGATCACACTTTCATGTTAGAGAAATTCTTTTGTTTTGTACCTATTGATATATTATCCTTTATGTATAAAATAAGCGGGTTTCAATCATTGACATATATAGGTGTGTGTTTCCGAAACAATACGGTAAACAAACATACAAAATAACAATTTTGTTTTTTTGACTGTTGCTAAAATATTGGATAGTTCTATATTTTGCATCCAAACACCAAGAAGTTTAAATCGAAAACAAATTTCTTGAACCGTGATCAAAAGTTTTATTAGTGTAAATTCATAAAATTCTCTCAAAATGGCATTTTGTTGATTTGAAATTTCGATTTCGAGAGGAAGTTAGCGGTTAATTTAAAAATAGAAACAAAATCATTCCTCAGGTTGCGAATTCTGAACTTTAGTCCAATTCAGTAGTACAAGAACATTAGGCTAGTGAATCGAAATCAAATTTTATGTTGATGCTAATGAATTGGTCAGTAATTTACAAAATATGAATATGAAAGTGTGTCATTAGGGTTAATTATGCAATAAATCCAATGGAATTCATCAAACCTTTTATATCTGATGAGAAGTAATTGCAAACGGTTGACAAAATACAGGATATTCCTCCAAGTAAGAAACCAATGGATACGATCGGTCTTCTCCCAAATCTATCCATTGTTAATATTACAATAACACAAGATGCAATCTCACAAACTCCTCCAAGTAAATTATTTACCCTGTCGTCACCTGGCGTATAAAATTATCGCAGTTGACAAAAGCTACTGGTTTCTTTAGTGGATTCACAAAAGCATATAGAGAAGTATAATAAATGAAGAATCGAACTGCCAATAATATATTTAGTGGATTCAAAAAAGCTTCTGGAGAAGTATAATGAATGAAGAATGGAAATGGAATAAACCTGTTGTTAGTCTTGGACTAGGACCAATAGGAATACCTGTTCGACAGCAGTATTGAAACCATCAATTACACACCTTCATTTTTTTGGTGAGTTATGAAAAAGTACTACAATGGCCAAAATACATTAGTTTTGCTCAGCATTGATAGCCTGAACAATTATTCACTCGGAATAATCCAGAAATACTATAGTTGTCGCTACTAATGTTCGACATTAATGGACGAAGGTAAACAAACTTCATTGTCATTGGGCCATGAATAAAAAAGGTTGCTTTCTTCCAACATTTGGCACAGAGACAAGCAAATCAACATGATATAAAAATGTAACCATTGTTATAAGACACAGAACGAGGCCGTCTATCGTTCAATATCTTAACGTACACGAGGTAGCTAACTACCTGGATATATTTTAAAATGCACAATACAAATTTATTAACAATTAATACTTTGTTTTCATTTTAAAGAATACGGAAATATATCTTTTTACTATTAGAAATATGAGTTCCCATCGCCCCATGTTTTATGCCTTTTTGGCATCAATGGCCAATCAAAGCGGCTTCTGCATGAGATAACAATCAAAATTTCCTTGTTTGGATAAATCTCAGTTCATGTTCATGAACAATTGTGTTAGTTGGCTTTGTGCCGAGTTGGGATGAGTTTCCACCGTCACTTTTTGAACTTGAAGTGTACTTATGGATTGTTTCGTTCTCATGCTGTAGTAGTTCTTGTTGGACACGAAATGTACTTATGGCTCGTTTGTCGTTTTCGCCAGGTTAAATGATTGTATTTGTCGCCAGCAAGCTATTACTTTTATTTATTTCAAAATGCTTGGGGCCTATGCGATTCTTTTTTGTGTGCGACGACGTCATCAACGTCATCATCGTAAAAAGTGCGCGACGGGTAGTCTACTGTGAAACATTGCATACCCGTTTTTTTTTTTTTTTATTTGTTACTACATTTCCTATGAGATTTGATATTTCCCCAAAAATTTCTCTGTTTTCATTTCGACAAGCCTGACGACTGTCTTCCGGTATTTTAATTCCCGTTGGTACTAGACGCATGAATCATCATCGTCACAGGACCTGGTACAGCTACGACAGTCCAGGTACCGGTACTACGAAGTTGCGATGCTTTACAGTTCCAACAGTCCAGGATATAATTTTGGGGGCAATTGTGGGTAAACTGTTCCGTTTTAGGTTTCGTGTCCATATATTTGAACATTGATCACTTGTTTGTGCTAACGATCCTAATTTGTGACATCATAGCATGATAATAGATGCGTTGTGAACTTGTGGTTATTGTTTTTCGCGAATCCCCGTCTACCCAACCTTTTCATCTTAGTTTTTTAAAGCAACTTTTATCAAAAAAATGTTTAACTTTTGCTTGTATGAACAAGTTGTTGGAATGCGTTCAGTATATTCATTTTCTTACAAATCCAAAGGATTTTTTAGTTACCACATGTGCGCTACAAAACTCCTTTCAGGCGATTTTGAAAATATCACGGCTTATTTTGTGTTTTTTGATTACGATACTAACGATACTTCCACTTGATGGTGTCAACCGTTATAAGTTGTTTTTCACCTGTTCAGTGATCATCAGTTCCAAACTTTGACCAAATAAATCGTGTGCAGTTTTGTAATAAGTCAGTAATCATTACCAGTTTCAGAGATATAAAAACAATAACTTACCCGCCAAGCTTCCAACATTGAGAGATAATCCATAATAGACTAAAGAAACAACAAACCAACAGAATACAATGTTAATAGTTACGCGTCTCATATGTGGTCTTTTCAATAAAATGAACGGGTGCGGATACATTTTCCCAACTTCATCCTGAAAATATATGGACATGAAGATAGAACGACTAAACGTCAAAGATCCTAACTTCGGAAGGAAATAAACTATAACTTCGTATGACAGCGGTTCCCAAACATTTTGTTCGTGCGGCGCCACTCACGCGCACTCACACGAAAAATAAATTGATGCTTCTAAATAAAACTCATTTTTCGTGATCGTTAATGTGTACATGTATTTAAAATTTGCTTCCCCACGTCTGCCAGTTTTTTCTTTGAAATGATAAAAATATCATCTATATTCGCTTAACTCGGTTCAGTAGAAAGATAATCTTCAGCTCACGAAATTACAGCAAGTAGTGGCTATATCTATTGTTAAGGAATAATAGAGGCAAACACTATGTGACAGAAAGTGAAATACATAGAAATGAAGAACGGAGTTATTGATTCATATACACAGTTTTTAAAAAAGAGACAATAAGATTAAAACGTTCATAATAAATACAATGCTGTATGTAAAATAGTCAATCGTATTTGATTACGTTTAATACAATTCTGTTAATTTTCGCGGCGCACTTAGCAACTAGTCTTGTGGTAAACGCTGTGGTATGGAATTATCGTATTTTCAACAATAACTCCACCATTTGTTGCCGAAATCAGTGATTTTAAACCGTTGTTCCGCGGAACACTGGTGTTCCGTAAATACCTTCAGGTGTTCCGCGTCGAGTTTGGGTTCCGCAGTTTTTTATGATTGGCATATTCTATGATAACAAAAAGAATTCAAAAGTCAGTAAACACGTATTTGGGGCTATGGAAAACTTGCTGGGTGATTGTTGCAGACAAAGTTTCATTGTCTTATTTTTATAAATTTAACCCGGGGTTATTTCGTGAGATCTCTTCATTGCACTCATTAAAAATGACCGCTTGTAAACTACTCTCTTCAGGGCTATTTCACCATCTGTTCGCGGGCAGGAATATAGGAATGTCGGCGTAAACAACATCTTTTATCGCTTCTGCGTTTTCTTTCGTTCTCGTTTGTTTTTTATTTCCAATCATTGCCAGTCGGCTGTTTATAATATATTTCGTGTTAGAAGTTTAAAAGCTGGTATTCCGATATTCCGAAAGGCCATTTTCGACAACAAAATAACATAAACACCAAGAAGTAAAAGAGTACCAACAACAACATAATTACTAAACGATCCCTAGGCCTTCTTCGTGTTCAATAACGGAAGTCGTTGCTTTGGGAAACATCCATAGACTAATTTATATAAGATGGAGTTTTTCAGTGCTTGTTTTCAACTTTTCAATCCGTTATCATTCGAACAAAGCTTGTGAATTTCAAGAGTCGCCTCTTATAAATTGTAGTATACCTGACCTCATTATCTATAACAGCTTTTTCCCAAATATCAGGTGATAATTTTCGTCCGTTCTTTTCAGCAAGTTTGTTAGAAATCATTTTTGCTTTTCTGACTTGGCCTCTTGAAAGTAGCCATCTGAAACCATATTCATACCATCATTCAAAATACTGAACTTGAATTCATCAAAACATTTTCCATCTCCCCCATCCCTCCTAATCTAATAGTTCATGAATGTGAAAATCTTACAATGTAAAGAATTAGGTAGATGAATGCACCAATCAAAACAAAAGCTGATAAAATCCATACCTTGGTGATTCTGGTACGAAAAACCATATGATAAAATAAACTGCAGAAAACATGGCGATAGAAAGTTGAAGATGGCGCCAATTTCTCCATTTGTATGAAAGTCCGGATAAAATCATATACCCAATTGCAGAAACTGTCTGTATACTGACTCCAATGAACGATCTCCATTCATTACCAACAATTTCAATAGCTAAAAAATAAAATTTGAGAAATGGTGAATTGTGTTATCTAGCAGCCATGTGTGATAATTTAATAGGTTTGCTCGAAATAGGGATAAACAAAATCAGGACAATGCTCAAATATCCGGATACGATTTCCCGTTCACCTCAGTCACTAGGTGTATTCACTTTTTTGTGTGTGCGAATTGATTAATCATAATGGATTTTTGAATCTACTAATCCGAATAGTTTGCGTTAGTAGGCCATCTAACTTGCAGACGGGCAGTTTCGCTAGACTGCGAGATAACGGTCGATAATATAACTGCAGAAACCTATATGTAAATTCCCAATCCCCAAAATACGAAAATGAAACGACAGTTACGTTGGCTTTGGCTTTATTGATGACATGGCTGCCGATGTATGCTCACAAGTTTGCCTTGAAATCAAGCAAAGAAAACTTTTAGTTATCCTTTTGCGATTCCTACCCACTACTTAGTAAGAAAGCTTCTTCATTGCTAGTTCAATTTGCCACAACCTATCTGTGCGAATCTATTTTTTCTGATCTTGTTACCAATAAAGCATAATCTAGAAACCGTCCTGATGTTGACAGTGACAATCACCTGGCTATATCAAAGACGGCGCCTAATAAAAGAAACTTAGACAGACAGTCCCAAGCGCAAGATTTCCAAAGATTGTTTACTAAAAAGCGTTGACTTTTTGGCCCATGGTTTGTTTTAGCATGCTATAAAAGATCGTAAATACATAATACAATGTAACCCTCCTTGTGAAAAGGGGGCCCACGAGTGCAAAAAGCCTTCGGAAGGTGGCCACAAGCCGTAAAAGATTGAGAACCACTGACATAGAGGTTCTTGGAAACAAACTTTGGGTAAACACTGACAGCAAACAGATTCAAGTGTGGCTTACTAGCTTTACCCTTTACCCGACAATTATAAAATAACACTCTTGCAAAGTAGAAGTTCATGATCATCTAATGTAGATTTTCTGACCCAGTAGTTACCAACTGCTATCCTACTGAGCGGTCCGCCGAGAATTAATTAGACCAGAGCCAAACTGGGGCCACTGCAAGCTATGTATCGGTGTATCGCACTCCGTAAGGCTCGCGTTGATTGTTGGTGCAACTGCAAATGATCAAATTCAACCACTAACAATTATAACGAGAATATCGGTCAGAGACCGAAGACTTATCGATCGAAACTGCGATTTCGATTCATGACTCTATAGTGACACCGCGTGTCCCATCACTAATTAATCAATTACTCGCTCAATATACGACATAATAAATCAATAAGCTTCTGGTCCGAGATATGATGAATGCACATGCAAAATTTGAAGCAGATTCAACCACGCCTTCATGAGATATCGCGTGCATGTAACAGACAAACAGACAAATACCTATCAACATACTTACCGATCAAGTAATGGTCAGCGTTTTAATTCTGTGCGAGCAAGACTCGTAAAACACAGTTACGGTAATAACATCTAAAGACGAATTATTTTTCTATTATTATCGTTATGTATGTAACCGGACTTGGGCCCCAGTCAATAAGTTTTGCATAATATCCCACAAATTTAATGAAGAACGGATACGATTAACTGTCATAGCCACATGTGGCAACTTTTTTAATCTCTCTTCGATTAAATACCTGTCTGTACTCGACCAAAAGGTGGGTCATACTTGGATGATAGGGAGGAACATATCGTGGGTTTGAATCCCGAAAACTATGTCATTTTTTGGAGAATTGAAAATGAATGTATCGCCATGTTTTGCGATATAACTTTATATTTTCGGAAAAGGGGTGTCATAGTACTATTGAAATTATTCGCAAATAATTTTATAGCATTTAACATCTGACTTTCGGTTTGCACCATTTTTTCAAGAGAATTAAAGGCCGGGAAAAATCATCCAAAGTAAAATGAAGCGTGTTAAATCTGTAATAAATTGAACATTGTTGCAATCAGGTAATTGGAAAATCTCCAGTAAGTCAGCACTAATAATTATCATTATATGCAACTATAGATATGCCGGCTGAGATTACCGCGCTGATGTCTAACGCTTTTTACGGGTTCTTTGAGAGAAAGCGCAAGTCAAATCAAACGAGAGAAAACGCTATTCTCGGTTTTAATACATAAGAATCACGAAATACAAAAACCGACACTTGGCGCCGGAGAGGAGAAAACCGAATCTTGTTACCCGGATGGTCCTTGGTAGAAAGTAAACTCAAATTTTTATTTCAATATAAACAAAGGCTAATAACTGCAAGAATTTAATTCACGTTGTGTCGTATGATAGTCCTCATACCATGCTATACCGTGCATTTTTTTATATATTACAAAACAGTAAATATAGCATTAAAAACTAAGATGTTAGGCTAATTTTCAGTAAAACAACGGGAAACGTGGCTTTATTCAAAAAAAAAAAATACCGCCGAGGGCTCCCACAAAACCAAGAAACGAATTGGTACGTATGCTTTCAGGAAGCGTAAAATTGGTCAGATGTGGAGACTCACAAATTTCAAAATATCAATTGCATTTTGATTCTAAAATGGCAACTTCTGCTACTTTATATATATATAACTACGCTAATTATGTGCTTGGTTTCATGTGCCTGTTTTTCTTTCTTTTGATAGATGATGGGTCTATCCTTTCACGAATGTCGTTTAAAAAGGTCGATTTATTAGTGGAAAAACGTGAGACCACGATATTATTTGGAAAAATTAAATATTTTAATTGTTTCCGGACCGCGGAGTCATATTATATAATATGACAGGTCCGACTGTGTAGAAAGGTCGAGGATCCGTGTAAGCTATATAACCAATTGAGAAGAATTATTTATTAGTCTATTGTGCGGCACAATTAAGAAAAATTATACTGTTTTTTCATGGAACTGTACAAACTGAATTCTTACCATAAACAAATGAAGGTGGACCTGACGATATGCAAAATGGAACTGTACAAACTGAATTCTTACCATAAACAAATGAAGGTGGACCTGACGATATGCAAAATAGTGCAATAAAAAATCTTGTTGCAGCAAATGTTGCTAAGTTAGGTGAAAACGCGCAACCAATGCCAAATATAAATGCAAAAATCTGTCCGATTATTAGTACACGAGTTCGTCCAAACCTGAATTACATTAAATTTCAGTCAACTCAAATATATTAAACAATAGCATATTTGATAAAATAGTTTGTTTCTCTTCCAAATAGAATGAACGAGCAAATTTGAAATCATTTTTTCATGTAAAATTAGTATTTTTCCATAACTATTTCTCCATGTGAACCACAATTTCGTTTTGACAATCCCATTGTATGATAGGACTTCGCTGACTACAAATAGTGCACGTGAGTGGAATAGCTGTAATTGAGGATAATATGCAAACAAAACCTGAAATAATTTTATGATTTAATTTAATACGGATAACATTTGCAAATTAATATGATAAAATGAGGATATACGGTAGTTTGTGTGTACAGTTTGCCTTAGTGAATTATGAACAAAATGTAAAATCACTGACCTGTCACCTAGATTTCCACCAAGAATCACACCAAAGAAAACACCAACAAAATAAGCAACTGATGCAAGTGTTGTAAGATACAATTGATCACATACAAGGTCCCACTGCAAATTTAAATAAGTGTAAAACAATATTTCATTCTTGATTTGCTCCTTTTTTCTCAAAAATCAAATAAAGTTTTACTTTAGATGAATATTTTGGAAGACAAAGCATGGTTACAATGCATATACGGCACCCTGTCTTCGTGTTGTTTTTAGAATATAGCCAAATTTGTTGGTTTATATATGAATATTTTCTCAAAATACGTTATTATAGACGTGACTCATGAACTACATCTTAACTAACTTTTAAGGATGATAAATTGCAAGAAACGAATGAATCTTAAAATTGTAATTATGATTGTACATGACCCATTGCGTATACCAAAACATACCTCAGTCGTCGTTGTACTTTCGTAACTGCTCTTGTCAAAAACATGTCCATTGATGCACGAACTTGTTTCATTGGTAAAGCATTCTTCTAAATTAGGCAGGGTGCAATTTGTTCTATATGAATATTGCTTGCATCCATCATGTTTCTGTATATTTTATTTAATAAAAAATATTATGTGAACATTACAGTTCAGACAAGTAAATCATAACAAGCTGTATTCGAATTGGAATAAAATTTTTGTGATAAAAATTTACCTGCAAGGAAAGGCAGTGCAACAACTATTCCTTATTCAGAAAAATGTGGTGTTTCGCAGATCAACAATACTTTTGACAAATATTATGATGGTAATGCAAAGTAATTGGGTATTTGTCAAATCGCAACGGTAAATTCGAATTGTTCAGAATAACACTACATTTGAAAACAGCATAAAACAACATTTTATGCATGTCAGCAAAATACTTTGATCTCCGCGCATAAGACAAGACTTTACTCTTACCTTAGTATTGGAGTCAAACGGAGTGGACACTTCCAAAACAGTTTCGTTCCAGTTGGTTTGGTTTAAAAACAATTCGTTATCAACTTCTTGTATATAACACCTGTAATCTGGAATTGCAGAAAGAAAAACACTCCCGACTTGATTCATGCCTGATGGTATGCTGATGTAATAAACAGCGAGTACTAACAAAAATTGATATTTTCCCATAGATCCAATTCCAGATAAAATTACGTCAAAATCATAATTTGTATATTTTCTTTTTGTTTCGACAGAATTGTCAGTACAATTACTTTCCATTTCATATTCGTCATTGTTCTTCATATCTCAAGTTGATATGTTTACCTATTTTATGTGAAAATATAACTCGATTTGACATATGGCAAGGTATGCAAATATATTTTCAAGAGATAGATGCAATTAACAGTTTCGTTTATTGTAAAATTGAATATGCATAATTATTAAGTTAATTACATAAACCTCCATACGTGAACATTAATCTGACTTTTTTTCCAAGACATGCTCACAATAAAAGTTGCATACGAATATGATGCCCACAGGAATTAATTTGAAATTCGCGTGCAGTAGAAGCACATTATAAAAAATCTTTGGTATTAAAATTTATTAATTAATGCAAACGTAATATGAAGGTAACCTCATATAATCGAAAATTGAATCAATTAATTTAAGAACAATGTATTTTGTGTGCATTGCCGTTGAACTGATATTTTTGCACTCAAATATTCTCTTCAACTACAGAAATTAAGTTTTGGTCATTATGATGCCTTCAAGATTCGAGTTTGTAGATTTAAATTCTTATGCTGAACCAGATATCAACAGTACAGTATTTAAGTTTTACACCAGCTTTTTTCACATTTACATGTGACATTATACCATTCTGCAATTACTCTCTTACAAAAATGTTTCAGTAGGTTTTTCTATAACAGATGTATGCCATATATTCATCTCTAGCACGTTAAATTCGTAATAAAACCCCTATTTAGGTAGATCTGCGGGATCACCAGATTTACAATACATAGCTGGCTTAGCTGCTATTAAATTTTCCAAAAATCTCTTAAATTTTAAATATCAAGCGGGACATGATCGCATAATATTCATAGCCTTATCACTCGATTATCACACGCTTCAACTTTAGAACGGAAAATTTGTCTTGCTCCAATTTTTTAATCTTTCTCCTTCTTCCTGACTACCTCAAGCTCATGTCCAAATGAGCGGACGAACAAGATTGATGATAAATTGATGAAACAGTAAATTACCTTACTTTTTGCGTTAGATGTTCGCGGTCCCAAAGATTCCAAGTAGAGTGACAATTTTGCAATCTGCACTGCTACTAATTTTCTTATTTTGAGCTTTGACGGGGTTGTTTTTATTGGCGGGGCTTTGTACAAAAGATCCGACTGCGCTGCACACGGTGCTTTAACCCTGATTTTGTACACATTTTTATTTCAAAATCTCAATTTCAGTTATTATTATCTATACCAAAACTACGCACGGCGCAATGGTTTCGAAGTGTCACACAATAGTAGCTAAGTGGATGGGGTTTCTTGATATACCAAGTGTATACAAATGATTATTAAAATATCTACAATACAAATGTAAAAAAGTAATTTTTTTTGCAGAAAATAGCAGTATATATATAGATAAATCATAGAATTCATTGTTATTTTTCGAAATATCCTCCCCTTGCCTTCACTACACGCCTCGATCTTATTGGAACCTGACTGCACGAGGCACGTATGGCTTCTTCTGAAATTTTGTTCCAACAAGTGATCAATCTATGCTTTGTATAGAGCAGTTGTTCTCAATCTGAGTTACGCGCACCACTAGTGAAACATGGGAGCTTTTCAAGTGGTACAAAAGCAGCTTTGAATTATTGCCATAATTAACTTGTGTATTCACTAAACGGCGTTATAGCGATACCAGTTCTTGTCTTTTATCACTCCCTACCGTTACTGTCCATCTAAAACGAAACGGGCATGTTTTTGCCATTTTGCGCGTTATTTCACAATACATCTTATCAAAACAACAAAATTATCCGAAACCACGAATACACTTTGATCAGTGCTACCCGCTATCACTATCGCTTGTAGACGCATTGTAACGTAACACGCAAAACGTTGAAAACATAACGGGCGCGGGCGATCTCCAAAGACAAGATTGGTAGCGCTATAAATGCTGTTCAGCGAATACAAAAATTGTTTGTTGCAATAATTCAAAGCTGCTTGCGTACCACTAGTGGTGCGTGTACCACAGGTTGAGAACAACTGCTCTAAGCAAAGCATAGATTGACGACCTGAAGGTGTAAAATTTCAGAAGAAACCACACGTGCCTCGTGCAGTCAAGTTCTAATCAGATCGAGGCGTGTAGTGAAGGCAAAGGGAGGGTATTTCAAAAAATGAATTCTATTATTTATCTATATAATGCTATTTTCTGCAAAATAATTTTTCTCTCTCTTACATTTATATTATAGGTATTTTAATAAACATTTGTCTACACTTGGTCTGATCACCCTGTATATACACATCTCACAAAACTTTAATGAAATGTTAAAATTTCAACGAATTTACTGAATAAAAGTCTTAATCGAAGCGTGGCAATTATTGACTTTCTTCAAATAGCTGATTAAACGTACAACATATGTGCTGCTGTCCCCATCTCCCACCTTGAAGTGAAAAACCTTTACTCTACTAACAATATTTGTGGAGGCAAGGTTTACAATTTTTATATGGTTTATGATACTGATCATGTATTTGCCAGTTGCCACTCACAATTAAGACGCAACTACTGCTTTGTTTGTCGTAACAGCTCATCGGCAACACCAAATTTCATTATCAATTCAATAATTTTTCGTGCTGTTGCTTTTAGACAAGATGGTGATGTCACAAAGGGCGACGAATACAGGTACACAAATAACATCAAGTAATTATCTAACTTCTAGGTAATTAGTTACTAACTGCGCCGTGATTATTCTTGCCTTGTGTGTTTATTTTGCAGATAAAACACACACCCGCATTTTATCCTCGATCCCTCGGTGGACTCTAAACTAAATTTTCGAAAGCTCACAAATATACTTGCTATTTCGTGAAAAGAGATTGTGGCAACCATATAAACTTAATATACAACCATATTCAATATCTACTATATACAATTAAGGGCGCTCCAGAAGTATGTGTACCAATATGGAGATAACAGATAACTAATTCTGTTCGCTTTTTTACATCAAGTTGTGTAAAGGGACGAGAGCCTATGGGCAGGGGTATATTTGCTTGCCTAACACAGACAGTCCCCGAACTCGACTACGTAGGCTAAGTACCCAACTAAGATCGCGAAAGTACCGGGGCATTTGGTTAGTAGTAGGCTACATTGATAGCGCATGGTACCCGTATATTTGTACCACGGTGTTTACCATCAGCATATGAATTGCAGGCATGGACCTATGCACCCACGGCCATCCAATAATTTATTAGATACTAAAGGTTTGGGCAAACGCAAACCGCTCATAGTTTCATAATCTCTACCACTCACTAAATTGGTAACACTTCCTAAAATACAACGCTGAACTCAACGAACATACTATATATATCCAAGACACGTGTCAGCCTTTCATCAAACTCAGCGGCCACGTGAAACATCGTCGAGCATATTGCTTCTGCGGATGGCCTTGTCTGGGCGGTAACGTGAAAACAGTTTCACCCAAATTGAAGCAGAAAATAGTAAATTAATTTGTGTTTGGATTAGGTCGTGCTATACAGTTACAAGAAATTTTATCCAAATACCTATCCGCCGGACGATTTCCCTATATCAAACAGTAAATATACAGCAAACACTTGATTCAGATTGACCTATCAACTGAAGTTTTACAAGTTATTAAGTCTCGTTTTTCACACACGAACAGATGTTTCGTTATTTTAGTAAATATTAGCTTGATATTCGTTATCAGGAATCTAATATTTGTTAAATAATTTGAAAGTTATTTGAGTACTGACAAAAGTTGTCGATTGTAAACTATTCTTTGCATCCCCATTTCACTCGAGAGATGGGTCTGGTGAACACTTACTTTTTGTGCTCGTTCGTCTTGCGACGCTAACCTAAAAACTAAAGAGTTTGATACACGCCGAACCACATGACCTTTCTTCGTTAGTACTCAACTGTGTTGCAAAAATGCCACATTGGTCGCAAAATTTATGATTTTGAATTTAAACTGCATCGATATCCCTCCCCACGAATAAAACGACACGATTAGCTATAGATATTCAAGCTAATTTACCAACTTTAAATCTCCACCGTTCATTAATATGGATCCACTTCAAATTTTTTTTCAAAACATGAAACAAATTATCATAACATCAACCTGACTAACATGTCACATGACTTGTGGCTTATACTCGACTAATTGTCGGATAGACTTGGCTTGGGATAATTGTGACTGTGTCATTGTAATAGCAAAAAATCTCTGTTGAATACGATTACCCGTGAAATAATATTGCACTGAATTAATCTAAAATGTAGTAATTTGTTACAGCTCAAGCAAGATAGGTAGTGTTAGTGCCGACGTTAATTGTTATCATGATTAAATCCTAGGTATATTTTGAATATGAGGTCGGTTTTACGCGAGATGGGAAACTTAGTGTCAGCGTGTAGAATAATTATCCATCTCAATGCTGTTATTCGCTACAGCTAGAATTTGATTCTAGATTCCGATGACCCGTGGTTCAATTAGCGCTTGACTGAGGGACTTGGGGGTATGTGATACTTTATGCCTTTGTCATACATGGGACGGCGGACGCCCCGAGCAGCTCGTTATAGGGGTGAACTTGTTGTTTTGTTCGATGATTTAAATAATATTGATACAAACATTTCACTCATCCTTGACCTTTCATTTATTTATTCTTATGTATAACAACAGCTATAATTTATTGGCATCATTTTTTGAAACTCGACCCGGGCAGCAGAAAAGTTCGACATGCCCGCCCGCTCGTGCACTCAAATGAGAATACGTGCCGAAGTTTTCAAAATAATAATTGTTAGTATTCTAAACGCGCCTCCGTTGAACACATAACAAACCAAGCACAAAGGCCTTTGTTTCAATTCAGTGAAGAGATCGGAGTCTTGATATTCACGAGTGGTCTCATTGCGGTTTCTTCTCAAGATAAAGGTTTCGATCATTGCTACAATCAGTGCGAATTTTAGTGTTATTATTACTATTTGGGTCTAAATAAAGATAATGGTACTACTATCATTCCAAACCAACAGGAATATGCAAAGGGGTTAACAAAATGTTGCAAATCAAACATTAGCACTAGGGAAAAGGGGGAAGGTTGGGACACTTTTTTATTTTTTGGCCAGTGGCCACCATAACCTGCGCATTCATTTGGCATTACGGGAATGATGCATATAGGCCATAGGGGTAAATGTTGTTTCTATTCAGCGGCTAAGGAATACCCAAGCGACGCACATTCAAACACCAGAATGCTTGAAAACGCCTGTCAAGGGTACCCATTGTACCCCGCTGGTGCGACGCATTTGCACACGCCTCGGGACACAGCTAGGCAGTATATTAAACTGAAAGCGATATGTAGTTAAAATTAGCAACGAATCAGCATCATCATCTATTCTAAAGTCTAAACTATAAAGATGTGGGACTTCAAGATCTTATATTTTTAAAAAACAATGTTTTTAAAAACAACAAGTATTTCAATTTTAATCAAATGGAAATGGGTTTGAAACTTCTATATTCGGCAATGACAGTACAGCAGTTTTTAGTTAAAGGGGTCAAAAACATCAAATACTATTTTCGAGCCAACAGAAAAAAACGAAAGTGTACATTTTTTTCAGTAACTAAACTGTTCAAATGTGTTCAATAAAACCAACAGATATATTGACAATTGAAGTGTCTGATTCCGCAAAAAAAAACAAATATTTACTCTCCTGCAAACATTCTGAAAAAACATTTTCAAATCTGGAATATATTCTAAATTGGACCATGGACCGGGAGATAATCTAATACTACACAAAAAATAACGCAAATTTAGGTCTCTAATTACTTGATGGATATATAACACTGAAGTGGAACAGCATAGTAGAACATGTCCCGTTGGACCTGGTCCATTGTTTCTCATAAGCAGCAAACAGTTTTGGACTGCTTCATGTCAAGATGAAGAATGTATACACACTCGGCAACGTTAGGAATATTTCATAGTGGGCTAAAGCTGAAAATAGCCAGACCGTGGTTTGTTTTGCTGGAGAAGGCTAAAGTAGGAAAAAGGAAAAGACTGGAATGGCGAAATTTTAGTTTCAACCCCCTAAACAACTTCACCCGATAACTCGCGTCGCTCTGCACGACCACTGTGGGTTTACGAAGACGTCGTAACTCACCGAAAGACGGTCTCAAGCACCGAAACGCATGATGGATATAGTATGAGAGCTGATATTCCACTGTGCCCCCCTATTTGCTAGTTTCTGTTAGAAACATGACCCAGGCGTGTGTGAATAAACTTGAATATCACGACGATAACACGCTTCACGCTAAATCAGGGTTGACGAACCTATTTGCTATCGCCGGCCATTTTATCAGTCATCGCTGTGTAAGCGGGCGCACATATTTTTAGTCATACTATAATACCTGCTAATTTCATCAACAGAAACGGACAACAAACGAAAGTACCAAAACCCGTGCATCCATACACTTGAGTTATTCAATGATATATTACAGAAAAAAATAAAAAAAAACAACAACGAAACATTCAATGAATTTTTTGCTTAGTGAGATTTTGGAAACTTTTTTGCTTTACTAAGCTTTATATAAGGACGAACTGACATGTGAAAACTGCATACTAAGATTTTTGTCCGCAAGTCTTGACCTGTATCAATTAAGTTCGATTTCGGATTTTTGACTCGAATTTTTTTGTCGACTACCGGGGGTATATATCGCTGTACAATAAATTTTTATTGTACTACAATAATTGTAGTCTTTGATATTTTATCGCAGCTCTAGTTTTTTTTAAACATTGATATCTTGAAAATAATCTTGGGTGATGGCATTGTGATAGAGCGGAGTCAGTGTTGCAAGAACAAGTTTAAAACATCGCATAAATACGAACAAAACTAGGGATAATCTGGCAGTTTGATACGCTTTTTCATGGTCGTGATATTTCATAGTAGCCCAATATTTTCCTTTGTCGACGCAACCGAAGGTTACATTGACACACAATTAATTAAGCGTATTCCCAAGGCTTAGCCTTAGTACGATGCGCCACGCCAAGACAATGATCATTTTGATCCATTGTTAAGGATTCAATGATCCAACAAATAAGATGTATTGGAAATAGCGTTTCCATAATACTACTGGCACTCAAACCGCTCACGAGCCTACAAACTTATTTCCAGCTACAAATCTCTGTTAACATGGCCTCTACATAGAACTGTGATAAAAAAAAACATCGTGATTTATGTTTTTCATTAGATATCAAGTGAGCTATTAGGATTTATTATAAATACAGGAAAGGAACTATTTTACCAAACCGCTCACGTGCCACTTTCAACTTTATGCATAACGATGTATATCATAGCAAATATACAAATACAAACCAAATTTTATTCAAATAAAACAAAACACAAGAGTAAGATCAGCCTTAACAACTTGATATAAAGATCAGTGATTAAAGCAAACTATAAAAGCCCGAATGAACTGGGCAGCAAAACGAAGCAGCCTTAAAAAAGAAAGGCAGTGACAGGATAAAAATTCAATAAAATTTGTATAAAACATTCGCATAACAGCTTCAAATATCAATATGTTTTGGTGTGGCAAAGTAAAATATCAGTGCAAAAAATTGCCAAGAGATTTATCTATGCCCCACCACTGTGTATGATTGATGGAGTTTTAAATTGTAATGATAAATATATAAAATTAACTAGGTATGCAGGCTTCATTGCAAACACATATATATCACATTCAACTGTGCCGGAAAGATTGTCCATAAAATTTGGTTTAAACTAATGGCATCAGGAATATATTTAGCGAGATGGATTATTTTATATCATATTTATTGATATATTGAATGATTTGATTCTCGGCAATTGAACTAACTAGATCGAGACACCGGTGTTTGCCCCCGACACCCATTTTACAGTACAGAATAAATATATATTTAATATTCAACATCTGAATTTCCTTCTTCAGAGCAACTCGTAGAAACATTGTTCGAATCGACTCCAGAATCATCCAAAGTATCATCAGCACCAACAAACTTGATAACCTGAAGATAAGTTATATATAACTATCACTATGATTAAAAAAATCATCAATATATTAATCTGTCAATTGGACACACTTTTCTTACCTTATCCAACATCGCCCGTTGCCGTTCAGCATCTTCAACGAACTCTTCATTGCAGTCCAACGTCAATATGGGAACGCCAATTAATGTTGGATCCATTCTGAATGAGATGGTAGAATAGTGGTACTATTTTTTACACATACCCCTCCAGTTTATACCCAAATACATGACAAAACCATTTTCCAGAAACGGTATAAACATGTTTAAAATAGTCCAAACTATTATCAGATTCAAAATATGCTATAGTTAGAATAACAGCACCGATGTTTGTTTGTATGAATGTTACAATACATACAATTCTCAAACAATACACCCCTCTCTCTAATGCTTTTTAAAAGTACTTTTTGAACACCCAACACTTACTGAACTTCATTCCTATGCAACCAAGCTTCATGTTTCTCATGAAGACATTTTAAATAATCAAGAGATACAGTTTTCTCTTCATCCCTCCCTCGTTTTTGCATTCTTGAATAACAAACCTGAAATGCCAAAGTTTCAATACATGGAACAGAATAATAGAAAGAAATAATGAATAAAATCTAATTACTCAAAATCATCATTACAGTTTTCTTAGAGAAAAGTAGGTTACACTTGGTATTTGGATGAAATAAATCAAAATAATTTACATGGCACATGTTGAGAAGTCAAGAGGCCACGAGATGTTTAAAACACATAATAGAGGATTGTGAATCAAAAAGGTTGGTAACCATCTTCCAGACATAAAAAATATCCTACCTCTGGGTTTGCTCTAAGATAGATGATTCCATCCAATTTCAATTCTCCTAATGATCGCAAGAGGTAGCTGCTCCAATCTTGGTAAATATTCCACTCCGTTTCTGACATCACACCACTTTCATAACAGTTCAAAGCAAATATATATCTAAAAAAATTTATGATGTTAACAACCTATTGAAGCAGTTGGCAACAGACTGATTGACGCCTATCCTATTATATACTCAATAACAAAGCTATCCTTTCTAGATTACAATATGTAAGCAGAGCTTTGATATACAAACAGCTTGGCAACCAGAAAAGGGCTAAGTGACTAACAAATGAGTAGGTTTCATAATTGTTAATCTAAAAAATCAATAAAAAATCGAGCAGCTCAGCAGTATTACTCACCTACTGCTATACACTGAACGTTCATAAAATTGCACTGGGTTTAAGGCAGATTGCTTCCCTGACAGAGGATTGAAGCTATCTTTCATCCGAGAGACAAAAGTATACGATTCAAAAGTATAAGCCCATCGCTTAGGGTCTTGATAAAAGAGTCCAAGGATATTTCCGCCGGTCTTCTGCGACATGGTGGGCTAGAAGTTTAATTTACAATTCAGTGTGTTTGCAAGTTTATATCTTGTTTGCAAACATTAACCAGTCTCCTTCACTAATGCTCAATCGCCAAACCCAGTGCAATTTTCTGAACGATCACTACATTAGATATGCTGACATTAAAAAGAAAACTAAAACAGCTGGAGCAAAGATGATAAAGCAAAGCGAAGCAAAATTTCTACATTCTATCAGAAACCGAAGGCCAAGTCATTTGTGAACAACACAGTCAATCATCTTTGGCCCAGGATTGGAAAGATATAATTTCTGATGGCAGAATCAGCTTTCCTTACCTATCTGACTGTAATGATCTCTCAAAGAACTGCACTGGGTTATTGGCATCTTCCAATTCAGGTGGAACGCCTTTTCTTTGGAGGCGCATTCGACTTAGCAAAGCATATGACTGGAAAGTATACGACCATCGACTGATGTCATCATAAAACATCTGGAGTAAGTTGCCTCCACTTTGTTGGGACAGAGATAACGGTGCCTAGGTGGTCATTATTAATTAGGTTCAAATAATTTATCAAATAATTACATTATAGTTGTATCCTACGAGGCACACAAGATGCTGACAAGGACAGAGAAAAATATAGTTCAATTATGCTGACAAAGAGGATGCTAATAACTTTGCCTTTGTTTGTTAAATATCATCGACTTGGAGTTTGCCAATTGCAATTTTTGAATTTCAATCAAAATAGAATTTCTATAGCAGTATAGACTATATTCCACATATTATTATGGCAAAACAATACCTCGTCATCTCCCGTACTGATGTTGGTCCATCTGGCAACAGGCTCAGGGACAACACTCCATTCCTCTGATTCATTTTGTAACATTTTTATAAATGTTGATTTGCCAGTTGCTGGAATAAAGCATAAAAGATTGCGATCAATCAAGCTTGAGAATTATCTCGATGTTACTGTGTTACGGGATTCATCGCTCAACGATTACCAGAAATTGCGAATGGAATCATTATTTGAGAATAGGGAATTATCTTTAACATTATATAGCTATATTAAGTACCGGTACATGTTTAGTATCATCATACCAAACTTCAACCAGTCCATAAAGCAGTAAAGCCAGGTTAACAAGCAAGCCGTTTTCGAATTCCACATAGAAAAAGGAAAACCAATGAGCTCCAATGGCAAGTGCTACTGCTAGCTACAGTAGCTAGGTTATGCTTTGATTGTCAGACATCAATAATATCACTTTGGGGCAGCATGATCGCATTATCTACATAAAACCTGGACTGATAAGGCAACAAGATATTTGGTCACGTGACGGTCACAATTAATTCAGATTATTATCGAGACAAGCATGGCGTGATGTGACGCATCTGCATCGTGCCAGACGCCCCTCATTTTTGAGGCACATGGAGTGTTTGTTTTATGGAACCAAATGACGAGACATTCTTGGAATTTGGAAACTGTGCCCTACTGAACAATGAATAAGATTTTTCAAAAATGCAGAAATGATATACATGTTTCTGTTTCATATTAGTTAGTTTTCCATATTTCAGTATTTGTTCATGCTGTTGTGTGTGGCATAGGGGTGAACTGGCACATTTATGCGTGTTTAAACCTTATTCTGCTATTACTGTATTCAGGTATAAGAAGTTTTAGAGAACAACTTGATAGCCCAGTTTCCATCCTTAAAACTGACAGGACAGCGGAACGTATGTAAGGTAGTTCTGATACCGGTACTATGATAGTTTCAGAATTCTACAGTTGAATAGTAAATAATTCTTGATTTAGAATGTTTGAAAATTTGTTAAAATTAAATAAGTAGGCCTATACATAAATAAATAGGGATAGTCAACTGTATACTGGTATAATGTGCTGGAACTTAACATCCATTAGGGCTGTAGGGGTGATATATATATTCTACCATTTCTCTATGCCTGTATGCTTTAAAGACTGAAAGAAGGGATATTTTGAAACTAAATTTTATACTGCTATAGTTATTGTAATTGATGCGATGTTTTTTTGTCAAAAAATTACACAATTTGAATTTTCTCAATTTCGGAGTCTCTAGTATTTTCAGAATGTCAGAGAGGATTTATTTTTGTGGTTTTTTCATAGCAAACTGGGTAAATCCAATCACTGAATCAGAACCGTACCAACCATACTGGTTTCTGTACTGTACGGTACCGCACCTACAGAGCTAATTACAGAATTGAGTAATTTCTTTCTTTATACAGGTTTTTCAGTATTTAGAACACTATGATGGTCTTAAATAACTTGAGTTATTACGATTACAGTACGGAACACTATCCAAATTCCAAGAATGTCCCATCATTTGGTTCAATAAAACAAACACTCCATGTGTCTCACAAATAAGGGTCGTCTGGCACAGCGGCAGATGGGTCATATTTAAATAAAATGCGTAAAATGGGTTTCTGTGAAACGAGACAATGTTGCTCGATCTGTATAGTGTGTTCAGGTGTTGTACTGAATTCTGCAATTAACAAAAGTCGTTTTCATATGGAAAAGAAAACTCAGAAATAAAGTCATGATTATTTCAGTATTTTTTCCAATATATGAATATTGATGACTTACCAATATTTCCTTCAATAGCAATCTTTTTGCCTTTAATGACGTGTGTTCTTAATCTCTTTGAGGCACGTGGAGCTTCCATATTGAATATTCGGGAGGTAGGTTTCGGCAGAGAAACGGATAATAGAAATGCTTTGATTAATATCTTGCTCGTGTAAGATCTTAGAAATATGAACGAGTCTCCTCTTCGAAAAAGTCTACTTGAAAATGAATCAAAAATCGAGTTGCAGCGCGTTTTTCTGGCAAACGATTCCCTCTCAAACAAACTGTCTTTTAGATTCAGATTTCCCGCGGCATCGGCACAAGCTAGATTTTGCATTTCCCGCCCTGAATGTGATTGGTTGGAATAACTAACTCCGCCTACTTTCTAATGGCGAACTGAAGATATGAATGGAATCAGCTGATCGCTGCTGGTCGGGCGCCCACAAGTTCTTTTTACATGTCGCGAGAGAAACGCGGCACTCTGTTTAAATTTTCGCGGTTCCGCATACACGCTACACAGTCGCTTTTATGAAATCTGTTTGCAGTTTGCACTGCGTGTTTCTTCAATCCATTACTACGTCGTCCTCAATCAATATAAATCAAGTTGTCAACATAATCAAGTTGTCAACATAATCAAAGTGTGGTTATTAAGCTACTACGGGTACAACTGTAAAAGAAACTCGTTTGCTCAAACATTAAATGTAAAAACATATACAAGATGGTCAACGTGGCATGACTGATCTTTGTACCGGATAACGAGATCAAATAATTAACCATAATATATCTTGGCTTCACCAACTATTATATTGACGACTAAAACGCAACGCCGACAAGTTCCACGATAATTGTTGGTCCTCTGTTATTCGATTGCTATATAAATGATCTACCAAGATTTTATTTGCAGATGATAATTCTGTCCGCCATTCTACGTCTGAACGCCTAGAATATGAATCTAAAATGTTGATAATACAGGCAAATATCCAAACCCAGTGCAAACTCTCCTTAGGCAGTAAGAAGGGATCTTTTATATAAAATGCGAGATTCGAGTAAACGGTGACCGTACATTTGAACCCATGTGTATATCCGCGGGTGCTAAAACCCATGGGTTAGGGTTAGTATGGGTTCAAATATCAGCAAAACAAAAAAAAATTCCATAGGTGCATTAGTATGCAGGACCAATTGTCGTGGGTTCAAACGTACGGGAACCGAGTAAACTAAACACCCCCGCCTGGCTTTTGCACGATTTGAATAATTTACAATATATCCGTAAATACTTAAATAATGTTAAATAACTAAACAATATTTCTGAAGCTACACTAAATACAAAGTGATTGCTCCACCAGAAATATTAAAATTCCTCCATGTGATGGAATTCCCCTCCTGGTGGGTAAAGGTTGGCATGTATAGAATATTTGGGGGTCATAATTGATGATTATTCTGGGTTGGAAACCTTATATATATTAATAAACTTGCCAAAATGTTTTCACGAACTGTTAGTATTTTATAAACGCTGGAAGAAGTTTATTTCACCTCCATTGCAAAATGGAATCCCTAATTGGGGATCAGCAGCAAAGTCTTCATTACATCCAATTCAGGTTTTACAAAGTAAAGTAGCCTACTAATGAGCAGAAAAGTAGCCTATATATATATATAACCAATTGTACCGTCAGCATGGAATTATGCTGCATTGGCGCGGCGGTGTGGCTCAACGGGCTAAGCGTTAGGAATACGCTCGCCACCGCACCTCTAACTACTCTGCGTGGGTTCGCAGGTTCGAATCCCATGCAGGGATGGTTATGTGCGAGAGGATTGCTGGACTCCTCGCCGTCGTTGGGTGGTTCACGTAACCGCTGGTCGGTTACGGCTTCCTCCACCATCAAGTCCATGCTTCCGAAAACAAACAATACAGTAAATCTAATCTCATACCCGACTTGGAATGGTAACCGGACGAGAGGCCGTGGTTCGCCATATGGATAAGCCGTCTTATCGGCTTCCCTCTCCCCCGGGATAAATATGTAAATCCTATCCTATCCTATTCGGGAATGCACGCTACGGAAATTGCAAAATTTAAGCAACGGCATGAAAATGGCCCCTTCCGCTTGGTTTCAATAACAATTTCACACGCCTAACAAACGTAGCTCTAGTTCGCCCAACAGGTTTCCTCTGATGTTGCAAGATCTTCAATTTGAAACGTAATAACAATGCGTAGTCAAAGTGAAAATAACACGGACAGCAGCTGACAGAATGTGGGAGATGTAAATTTTCCCCTTTTTTCCACGTTTCGAGTGACCACACCAACACGGCGTTGGTTCAACCAGTCACTTTGGGTTCAACTATCGATAAGTATCGATGGTTTAACAACTCTAACAGCTATTGAATGACATCTAGCGCAGTGGTTCCCAACCGCCGGTCCGAGGAAAAGTTTGTTGTTTTTATGCCGTCTCAATCGCTTTACCGAATACAGTGTTGCGTTGGTTTATCACGAAATTCCTCTTCCTCCGTCATATTGCGACGTCCTTCGCGACATTTTGGCGACGAGTAATCACACTTTTCGCGGCTCCGAGTCATCACGAACGCGCATCATCAAATTCAGAAACCTACAAATTGGCAAGCGTGCTTTTTCTGTTCTACATGCTTTTCTTGATTAATATGACCAGCCACCAACAGGAAACTCCGAAGGATATCAAATCACCACTCAGTAGATGGCGTCTTCAAACTCCGCAGGCTACCTCAGCAAGATGCAATATGCAACAATGAACTGAATTAATATTTTAACTCACCCTTCTAATCTTATTATCCTGCTTAATTAGACAAAGACAATAAAAACAGCAAATTAGGTTAAAAGTAATAAATTACAATTACATCAAATTTGAATTCAGCCATCAATAGAAACAGTTCTCTTTGTCAAAGTAGCATGCTGGGCCCTTTCTTTCTCGTATAGGTCATAGCACAAAATCAAATATATTCCTCCCTTCCCTCCCCCCATAAAACTATATTACTCTATTGTGATCCTTATACAATTAGGGCAATCCATGACATGGAAACAATGCTTCTTTTTATAAAATATTAGCCTTAATTAAATAGTACTTTTATACATTTATTTTCTTCTGGCAAAAATGCAATCATGACGGGCTTTGTTGAAATGCTTTTCTTTAAGTTTATTTTTCCTTTAATTCTTACCACATTCGGCTTCAATTTTATAAATAAAACAAGAATACCTAAGAATTTGACACTCGAACTGAAGTATTTCAACAAAATCTGTATGGTTCACATTTTTGCTGAAATATATATATTCTATCAAAGACTCTACTAGCACCCTTGAGTGACGCATACCATATAGGCATAAGAACCTCAAATTTATCCCTTATACTTCGCCCATTCATACAATATGGTCTCACCACTCAAAGGTGCTGTATTTGCGCCTAAATTTTGATTTCATTGTTATGTATATGTTTATTTGGTGTTGTGTTGTCTCTATTTATATATATTGTCTTGTCTTATAAACTCCCCTGTATAAACAGTTTTGTATACTCCACCCTTACCACTTCCACCGCACCAAACGACCCATTGCCCCACCTTGCACAACTGTTTATATAAGGGACCATACTATATAGGCTTGCACGTAATTTACAGATTTACGGAATTACGGAATTATTTCGAGTTACGGAAGGAAAGTTACGAATTACGTAAAGTCGTAATTATTGGTCGAGCGCTTTCGCGATTGAAACGAGCTCTCTTCAAAGCAGTCAATTCCGTCGATTGTAAAAAGTGAAAGTTTAAAAAGAAGTTAAAGCTTCGGTATTTGCAGCCGTTTTTCTCACTTTTCTCTCTCTTGCCAATACGTCACCGTGATAATTAATGTCGCGCTTATCAAACAGCAATATGACGACGGAAGAGAAATTGCGTAATGAACCAACGCAACTTCGTCTTTTCGGCATCGGTAAAGCGATTGAGACGGCAGAGAAACAACAATATGACGGGATTTCCCGCGATCCGGTAAAAATCCTTTGCGGACCATTGACGGTCCGCGGACCGGCGGTTGGGAAGCACTGTTTTAGAATACTTAAATCGAATCCAGAATCCTATTCTATTTTTATAGTTACCGTATTTAAATAGTGGGATTTTTCCACCACAATGATTGAAATTAAAAAAAAAAAGCTAAATTGTAGCCTAAATGTTTAATGTATAACTATCTTTATGCAGTATTTAATTGAAAATGTCCTGTTCATTGGATTATATTTAACCAAGGCAACGAGATTCACGAATTTCGACAATCGTTTTTTTTTGTTTTTAACAGTTCAATATTCTCAATTTAACTACTATCAAATATCAAGTATGAGCCAGTGTGTTTATTCTGTGCAAGAACCATTTTCAATTACAAAACCTTGATGTTCTGTTACCGGTTTTATCGTTTTATATCAGTCCGGACTTGTCCTTGCTCAATATATTTTCCACAATGCCTCGCAATATTTCGGCCAAATATGATTAACTGTCTTTACCAAATGCGGCAACTTATTTTGATTCTTGAAAACCACCGACACTCGACCAAATTTATGTCAATCTTGGCCGATAGGATCGTCGACTTGAGTTAGAAAAATAAGTTAACTTTTTCGTGCGTGCAAAATAAATGTCACAATATGCATTTTTTTGCGATATAACTTTGTATTTTCGGAAAAGCCATATCATATAAGTACGGTATTTAAATTATGCGCAAATAATTAATATTTGATCTAAATTTGTTGCAAATAATGTTACAACATTTAGGCCGCGACATGATTTAATGTAAAATGAAGCATGGTAATCGGAATAACGTCAATAAGTCGGCATCAATAATTATTATAAAATGCTGACTAGGTAGTAAAGTCGAATAATGTTAAAAACGGTGCAATAACAAGTCTTCGTCGCGAGGCAAGAGCAAGTATAATCAAACGAGAGAATACGCTCGTCATGGCATTGATAAATTGGAAACCCGACATTTTTTCGAATACGATTTCAAAAAAGTCAACTATCGTTTCATAAATATCCGTATACCAGTGTCGGTAATGATAAAATTGATCGCATAAAATTGGGACGGTTAATTTGCGAAGGTGATAAAGGAAATCAAAGCTAGCACAAAAGATAACATTCAGAATAAAATTAATTTGAATTCACTCTTGTCTTAACATCTGTCCCCGGCGTGTAGTACTGCCAGGAATATGAAAACCCAAACTGCCAAGATGTCCCAATCGAAAATGAAGTGGATTCAATTGGTTGTTATGATAGGTTTAAATGTGTGAAAAAATATCGCAATTACGGGGTCATTACGTAATCGATTTGGCCGTAATTACGGAATTGATTTTTGTCAATTACGTGCAAGCCTAATACTATACATATTTAATCTAATGTTTTTTGTTTTATATATGTTAAAAAGGGTGCATGCCGCACATTTGTGTTTAAGACGAATAAACATACATACATACATACATTCGTGGTCGTCTCATATAACCTTCATGTCTCTTGGATGTTATATGTGGTTCAGCTGCCAAAGCCATGCTCATTTATATTAAAATTGTTCTAAAAACGTAATTTCCTTAAAAAATAAAGTTAGATATTGAACCTCGGGTGTCGCTGCTCGATAACCATTCCTGGTTCCCCGCGACTTCCCTTCCCCAGTAAAAATGTGTTTTCAGTTTTGTATTTTGTTAATTTCGTATGTTATTTTTTAATGAATGGGAAAAAATAAACTTGACTATGACATTGTAATGTAAATTTATTTCGTTTGAGGCGTCGATCAACTGCAGAGGGATCGATATGAGGAACCCGATGAAAAAGAAAAAGCTTGATACAAATTGAGACTCTACTTTACAGTCCCAAACTTAAAAAAGAATCATTGTCACAATTTTGAATGTCTCTTAATAACGAATACCCAACGCTAAGCAAATCAAACCGTTGTCCGTATTTACAACCAGTATGCATTGTGCGAACAGATATTTTCATCACTAGCTCTAATCAAAACGAAGCAAGGAAATTGGCGCCGCTGCAGAGCTACGAGTTGCAGAAACTTATTTGAGGCCTCGTTTGCAATCCTATATCGGAAACGAAACTGCAGCAAAATTCTCACTAGAATTAATTAGTTTTGTACATGATTTGGCATGTACATGTTTTATGTGTGCCTTTCTTGGTATTATTTTATGTTTCAACCATTCCAATTTTTTGCCGGCACATTATTTGATAGTTTGTCTTCGTGTGAAATTATTTTGAGTGTGCCGTTTTTGTCTAAAAGCAGACATTGCTTTATATTACGCTGATATATTTTATTCTTTTCTGTTCCGGTGATTTCAATTTTTTGCCGGTCCGCGAGTATATTTAATTTAATTTTACCGGTTCGCCAGGGTGGGGAGGTTGGGAACCACTGATCTAGCGAATAGTACAGTACTCAAAGGACCTTTTCAACAATAAATAAATAATAAACTATTTCTTGCGTAAAAATGGATAAAATTGCTAATGCAACTTTTTGCTAGTTCGGACCGACCTGGGAGGTTAAAATATAAAGGTGTGTGGCGTTCTACCAGTTTCCATTTCATTCAAAATATTCTGCCTTTTAAATCCGATAAAAGATAACGAAATGTAAATACTGTATTAATTTATCTATCATGACAACGAATCTCTATTCCGAGATTTTTTATTATTGCAGATCTGTTTATTTCAGAAAATTAAACGATAAATTTATTTATTAACAAATGTTTTATTCATTAGTACCATGCCCTGTTAGTGTAATAGAATAGGATTTTACATATTTATCCCGGGGGGAGGGGAAAGCCGACAAGACTGCTTAACCATATGGTAACCACGGCCTCTCGTTTGGTTACCATTCCATGTCTGGTATGGGATTAGTTAGTTATTTGTTTTCGGAAGCATGGACTTGTTGGTGAAAGAAGCCGTAACCGACCAGCGGTTACGTGAAACACTCTACGGCGGCGAGAAGTCCATCAATCCTCTCGCACATAACCATTTTCGCATGGGATTAGAACCTGCGAACCCACGCAGAGCTATCAGAGATGCGGTGGCAAGCGTATTCCTAACGCTTAACGATGAGCCACACCCACACCGCCGTGACGTCATGACATTTTATTGCAGCCAACTACGGTCTTGCATACCGACCAACATAAAACAATGTTTAAGTTGGTCACTATATTGATCCACAATCTTTCAATATTGTTTCACATTGATTGTTAATTTTAACTGCTTATGTAAAAGTATGGTTTCAGCTCAAGTGCGTGCACTTCATCAAATACGGCCACACGGTGCGTCTCATAACCATAGCAACGACGCTAAGCCATGTTGCAGCGGATAATTGTAATTTTGCCAAGTTAAGTGTGGTGCTTTATGTCGGCAGAAATGCCGAAAAATTCACATGTAGTCGTCCAGTACGGACCATACGAAGCATGTGGAGTAGTTGAATCCCGCACCTCGAGACTTGCTGGATTAGAAGGTTTGTGACTATTTAAATCCAATGTTAAATAGACCAACACATGATTGATATTTTATTCACTAAGATAATCGCCATGCTTTTTTACTACAGAAAGGGGAAATAAAATAATCATATGCTTCAAAATATTGTTACACTTGGAAATTTGGAAAAGCTGGTCAACAAGCAGATATACAAGAAAAACTCTTGTACTTTAGGGTAGCATTGTATTTGTAAATGCTTTATACTTTTCAACTTATCCAATTTTCATCAGTTTTTGAGTTAGTAATAGTCAATATGTTTAGACCATACTTAGAAATAATCTGTAAGATTTTATAAATTTTACAAACTGTGGTTATAATGTTAGCAGAACATTACATTACATTACATTTACATACAGACATAACAAACAACAAATTTGTTTGAAGCTAACTTTTTTTTTTTTACAAGTGTACTGCAAATTTTTTGTGCGTAGCAAATTTTTTGTGCGCCGCAAGCAAAAAAAGTTCGAGAACCACTGTTGTACAGCATTAGGAGTATCAGTACACGATACAATTAACTTCACAACTTTGAAAATAAAAACAATAGAAGCAAATGAATCAATCAAAGCATATGGATGAAAAAATATGTAGGCTAGTTAACCAAGCCCGATATACATACATACATATAAAAGCCATTGTAAATAGGACCATTACCAATAGAAATGTGTTTGTTCATATATTTATATGCCGCTAAGCAATATATCTGGAATACTCGAAGATCGAATAAATGTTATAGGCCTATTTAAAATATCTTGTTGACCCATTTCATTTTGTTCGATTTGATAACCAGCTTAGCATATTTCACTGAAATAACAGTAACTTTGACTTTTCTGAGTTCTTATAATGAAATCTCATGAATAGCATTGATATTACCTAAAATCATTTCTTCAAAACTTAATAGTTGATTGAATGTAAAATATTGAAAACCTCTTTTATGCCATTGAAATAAATAAACTTTAATAACCATTTGCCTTCTGGTTCAGCACAATTAACTTCAAATGGACACACAATTGAATTACAAGAAGTTCCAGATTGGAATGTTGTTCGATTGATTGTTAATGGAGAAAACGTTTATAAATGCGATATAAAAGAACTTGACTATGGAGGAGACGGGAAACTGGATCCACTCTGTCTCAAAGCAGTAGCAGCTGTACTAAAAGCTTACTAAATTATTTTTATTTATATCAATTTTCCGTCCCAGTTATGCCACATTTTGTGTTCTTATCAACGTCTAATGGTTTGACTTTTATAACCAGCCTATGCATATCACACTGCAGTTCTACATTCCATTACAGTTATGGTATTATATAATTGGATATGTTATATTTTGATAATCACATATACAATGCACCAGACTTCTTTAAAGTTCGATATGCATCAATTTGAATTATATGCAGCTTAAATGGGATCTCACTTCACAGGGGACCGAATTCTTGGTTCAAGATGTGAGATTCTACTCAATAATATATGGCTCAAGAAAAATTTTCAAATTGCCACTTGCCTTATTAATTAACCCCTGCAAAATAACATCATAGTTTTAAAAAAAAAATCTTCCTAATTAATCTTCTGTGGTTGGTATTTATTGCAAACTTGACATTGAACAAATTTTATATTCTCCCAAATAAGTCAGTGTATGCAATTTCAGATTCTATTTCAGCGTCAAAATATGCATAAGCACTTTGGTAGGCTCACAACAGGCCACATCTCTTACTGTCAATAATTGATTTACTTTTCTAACCTGAATCTCACTGCTTTCCATGAATAAACAGCCATTTTCATTCAGAGTAGTGATAAAAATCATTTCAAGTTGGGTGAGGATTTTAAATGGAAGCTTAGTATTGCTATATGAAAATAGTGTAACAAGTTTTGCCTATGAGAGATTAGAAATCATTTGTTAAACTGAATATTGCTGTCAGTTACAGGGTTTATTGCCATGCACGGATGCTTCCTATGAAAGCATGGTAATGGAGTATACGAAAATACAGCAGAGAAAATGTAAATTATTTCTAACACAAACTATAGCATGCATGGACAGGCTGTGATTAAAATTAATTGTAATTCCCTCTTCGTCAGAAGACTAAATGATCTCTTAATCATCCACCAGTACTAATGGATGTTTGCTGAGCATTGACTTAGTAGTGTATTTCTGGACGAGATCTAACCAGCTAAGAGTTGATTTTTGAATGAAGATGTAAACCAATCTGCATGCACTGGCTCGTGAAAACACTCAAAATAAGCATCCAAAAAAGCTGCAATGATTAAGCTTGGAAGAAATTTTTGAGGTCGGGGAAACAACCACAGATAGCCAACTCTAACGACTTTGTGCAGACATATTTAATAATATAACATATTTATAGCACACTCCAATATGAAAATTGTACAATATCTGTGCCATGATTATATATTTTATTAGTTGACCAAGTATATAAAAATGCAGAAAGCTATTACAATAATTGGAACATGGAATATTAAATACAATGGGGTTGGTACTATATCAATGCTTGGTAGAAAATAACGATAGACACCAAATTTATTTCATCAAAACAATGTCCGTCCACATTTTTTTCCTCATGCAAAGATGATTAAAAATATTTTACAATGGTTAAATAAATAATGTATATTGTGAACAGTACTAGTCGTTATTTGATCATGTCAGTGTGCTACCAGTCAAAAAAGAACTAGTTTAATAGTATAAAATTCTTTTATAACGTATACTTCAGAGAGAAATTTTAAACTGGTCGGCCATACAACAAAACATGCTGAATTAAATAGAACACTGGCTTTATTGCAAGAGGCAAAATCTACTTATAAAACGGTGGTGTGATTTAACTTTATTTCACATGTAATCAACGAACTTATTTGAATTAACTTAGTTGGGCCAGATTTAACCACAGAGCTCTATACCATACTATGCAAACACATTGAATACAGATTTAATCAAATTTATGAAATTGGTCTAAGGCTGATGAAAGAAATGAGGAAGATCAAAAAATGTCATGAATATACAGGAAATATTACATGATGAAATAAAGATTGCTCAACATTTTGAAAGCGGTGCAATAAAGTAGGAAAAAAATTATACAGTTTATATTGTATCTGAATATTTAACTTTATATTCAAACAGGGTTAGTTGATAATGTAAACAAGTTGCCCATCTGTCCAATATTTTAACACAAAAATACAGAATTTACGAACAAAATATCTATACTGACGACACAACCATACCTTCTCTATGAAAGATTTAAAGTTTAGTCTATTAAATAAAGTATTGAAACAAATTGGTTAACAAAACCAAATTAGAAAATTCAATTTATAATTTGGAAGGAATTTTTCAAACTTGTAGGAGATTTCAGCAAGCTTATAAAATCTCAGCTGCAAAATTCTGAATATTGGATTCATCTATTGAAACATGTGTCAAAAGTAATCACCCTTAGCAAATGCAGAAATTCGCAAGCAAGACATTAAAAAGAAACAATTATGTGGGGGGGAATAAAGTTTAGTAAATTAACAAATTCAGTTTTTGGATGAATTTGATTAAGAATTTCAACATTTCATTTGGTTTAATTTTTATGGAAATAGTTTTAAAGTACTAAAACTAGGCATTTATGGCTATGGCATTGTTCAGTCCTACAACTTATAAATGATACAATATCTATTTCAAAAGGCACAAAACTGAGTTAATGGCAGTCAGAGATTTAACAGCGCATTGTGTTTTGAAAAACAAAAAAGGAGCAGCTGGTTTCAAGTTAGATACATTTCGTTTGAAAACAATAATACTCTGTGCAAGCATATTTATAAGTACATAATAATAATGATTGCCAAATATATTTAGTTGTCTTTCCTGACCCATCTCATAGTCAGTCCTGCATCAGTTCTTATACGAATAGAAGCAGCCTCAGCATATCGAACCTAAAATCGAAAGAAATCATAAAAATGAGAGCAATATGAGAAAATATTCAACACAGAGTAGACAGGAAATTTGAAAAGATGGAATATTATGAACAAAGATCTCTTGTTGGGTTACCAGGTATCCGACTTTTAAGTGATAGCTAGCCAATACACGGAGATGGTTGGTGATGATGTTAACCAAATTTTGGAGATGAGGAATCCATTAATGCTTACCCACGCTTAACCATGAGCTAATATTAATAATTCAAACGACAAATTCAACATTAGATAGTAACAACAAAATTTTTTAAGAATTTACAGATTAAGAGAAATCAGCTAACAAGTTAAAGAAATTGCAGATATGTAACACCGAAACTGTACATACCGTTTCCTTGACACTTTGCATCAGATTCTGTGCATTGTGAACTAACATCTCTGTTGCTTGTTCTGCGTCTTCTTCTTTCTCTTGAGATGGATTTCCAAGAGTTGTTGCTTTTACTGTTGACAAGATCCTCAACTGAGTACTGATTGTTGGGAGACGATCCAATGTCTAAATAAGAATTGCTTTTCGATAAATAATAATAAAAAATAACTTGCTGTATGTGGAAATACGCATAATTATAAAAAAAATACACAAACTGTTATCTGAAAAAAAAATATGCAACCGGCAATGAATAGTGTTTCAAATATATTATTAGGACCCAGCCAATAAATTCCCACCCAATGACAAAGAAAAAAACATCTAGAAGTGATTTGTTTATGTTATTGGGTTGTTTCAACTTGATCAAGGCTATATATGAGTATCCATTGCAAATGAGGAGCTAATTTAATGCCTCCTGAAGTATTTTAAACCAATAATTTATTTGACCTTGACATTTTTTAGAGCTAATCAACTCTATTCTTACGATATTTCATTAATTAATAATTACTCTTTTCTATATATACTACCTATATTTTTGAGCTATTTTTTTAAAATTACCCATCATGCAAGATTAACCAATTATAAGATTTTAAGAAATCTGACAACCTTCATCATATCAGTTTTGATCCTCTTATCTGTACATTGAGTTGCCACTTCCTTCGCATATTTTGTCACATCATTCGAAGCTTTCGCAATGTCTTTGGCACACCTAACAATTAGAAAAACATAATCATAAATGAAGAAAAACAAGACACCGTGGATTCATTTTATATTGTCCATTTTTAAAAGCATCAACCTAAAAGCTCAACTGTGAGAAAAGTATCCTGAAAATACAGAGATTAAAATCAACATTTAAAAATAATGATCTTACTGAATCAGTTCACTTCTTGAACCTTCTTCTCCATCTACAAGACGAGACATTTTAGCCATCAATAATGCCATCTTCTTTGCTGCTGCAATAATATTGTTACCCTAGAAAATGACAGATGTTTTAATTAACAATGTAACCAGTATTCCTATGTACGTATAAGGGTACTCCCGAAGTATGTGAATCAAAATAGCGGACACCGGAACGTAGTATGTGTAACAGGTTAGGGTTAGGCCATAATTTTATTCCAATTTTCCTTATTTTAATTCTATTACAAGTTCGGGGACTAGACAAGTGACTCCCGTAGTATTTGTACCTGAAATTATGGCCTAACCATAACCTGGTACACATACTACGTTACGTATATATATATCGTATCCATATATAAAAGAAGCAAATTCAAAACTTATAAAACAATATCAAAAGCCATACTTGAGAATACAAAAGAAAAATGAGGGATAAATCCGAACTATAACAATTTGTTAACAGCTAAATGATAGCAGTCTAAAAAAAATAATGGGATACATGCAATCACCTGTGATGTGATAAACAAATTTGGTTTACATGATTTTTTGCACAATATTCGAAAATATATTTACAATGCATAATAAAATTGAATGCAAAACTTGAACAAACAAAAACGTACAGTGCTCTCCCATTTCTTTGCTTCCTCATGAAGTTCTTTAGCTGCAACCATGATGGGTTGATTAGATTCAACTTCAGGAAATTCTTCTTCGGGTGGTGGAGGAACTGGAGGTGGTAATTCAGTTTGACAAACTGGCATTGGTGGTACTGGAGGAGGTTCCTGAATGTTAATGCAATAGATAATACGAATGTTTCCCCGACCCTTGACCCCAGAAATTTCTTCCTATAATTTACTATTGCAAAACTTTTGATACTTATTTTGAGATTATTATGGAGAGTTGGCGCTTACAAACTGGTTTACATGTTCAAAACCATCAGTTTTATTATTTAATATTTAACCACGTGCCGCTTACACGGCTACATTAGCTAATAGCTAATTTTTACCTACTATCGCAGATTTTTTGAGACTAATTTTTGATCTTTTCAACTAAACTAAAGCTCACGGTCATCTGCTCATGCTTCAATGAAAACCTAAATATTGGAGAAATTAAATTTCTAAATAATCATTATATTGTGAATCTTAATTATTCAGATTTAACTTTTTGTCAGTCAGAAATCTTGGCCAAAAATATCTTCATAATTGGTTAGTGCGTACAATGTTTAAATGTCTAGGCTTACTTCCAATGCTTTTCTCTGTTTTTCTTTCTCAATTATTTCTGCTTTCACTGTTTTCTGCAGGTTTGAAACAGCTTGGATTAATTTATCTTCATTGTCTGCAAAAGCAACAGCAATTTGTAATCAATCTAATAATTGCTACAAACTTTGTATTCAAAACAAGAAAAATTATCGTATGGAGCACTTTGAGAACCTATGTTCTAGACTAGAGTACAGATATTCAGAATCTTGTATTGAACTCACTTGTGCTCGAATGTTACATACAGGTATTATATAATACAGGTATTAGTATATATAAATATAATATATATCATAATGTATATTATATAAAATATAATTTCCTTACCAATAAAATCATTTTGATTTTTGCGATTTGCTGGTGCTCCAGCGTAAGTACGAGCTGATTTCAATGTTGGATCAAGTTGTTGTTGAATAGCATTGAGATTTTTCCTCAGCTGAATCAAACATAGTTATTGCATTTATTGGCTAGACAGTTTAATACATGACGAGGGTCACAGATTAAGCAGAGTTGTATCATCCTATCGACCAAGCAAATCGAAATATTTCTAATGTTATATTTTTATTTTTAGTGTTTATGTCTTGCTGTTATTCCTTTAATCAGATAGAAAAATTTTTAAATTTGCAAATGTAATTGAATTAAATTTCAATAACAAATTTTTATAACATCTTTATCAAATAAACAACATCAATTTCACTGTTAATTAATAATACAAACCTGTTCAACATATTGTGGATCATCAGTATTTTGCATTTCTCGTTTTCCGGTCATAAGTATTCTGTGGGCACGACGGGATATGTTTCCTAGAATAATTGCAAAAAGAAAATAGAAGACTTTGATTCTGCCGACCTACTTTATGTGATAAAATACAATCTTCTACAGGAAATTCTTATACATAAGTCAATACTGTCTCGTTCAAGTATCCCTGTGGCATGAGTCACATATGGATACAAAGTAGGAGGTAAACAAGAGGAAGGACATGCAGTTTAATACACTATATCCTGGTGCCCTTCAAATTTTGATGGTTTAATATACATTGTGAAGTTTTTCGACAGAAAATCAACATATTTTATTGCAATCATGAATTAATTCAAGCATAGGCCACTAAACAAATTACTATCCTATTAATCACTGTGTTCAAATTATAAATGGAACTTGGCATAACTGATATAAAAGTAAAACTTGAGTGATATTGCAACATACCAGCCAGAGGAAGAGCATCAGCTGGTTTATCCAATTTAACAGCTTTAACGCAAGCTTCATGTTCTCTTCTCATACTTTCTTCTGAAGCATCCATGAATGTTGCAAAATCAACTGAATCATCCACCATATCGGTTAACTCATCCATATTCCTGGTCCAATCCTCTGGTAATTCGTTAAAAAAGATATTTACATAAAAAGAAAAAACAATACACAGACTGTATGACTAACTTAATATGTAGGTGCTGTTGCAATTTACATAAGAAAATTAGGTCCATGTAAGGATGCCCAAGAAGAACTATTAATTAATATAATCAACATTCCACAATATAATAAACACTAGAGCTAAGCTTGGATTACTGTTAATCTGCACTTACGCTTCAACGTTTCAAAATGTTCCAAAGAAGTTTTATTTTCCGGATTTGAGAGAACAATTCTACCGGCATTGATTACCTAAATAAAAAGTTTCTAATTAAATTTATTATTTGATATTTTAATATTAATTCTTGTGGACTAGCGACATAATGTAAGCAATTTAAGGTTCTGCTGTTGTCTTGTTCACAAGGACAAAATACATACAGTTATGGTAATAAAACCTCTCAAGCACGCTATTCGAGAAGTTTTCGAAAAAATTTCATATTGCTAGAGAAGTCCGTAGAATTAACTTGCTCAAAGCCCTAAATTTGGGAACATTTTAAAATATAATTCAGAATCATAAATGACATTTGGAAAATTGAATTTTGAAGAGTTGAATAATCAAATAACTTCACAAACTGCACACTTTTTGTATTGAATTTCTCTTTTGTTTGAAATTGAAATAAACCCCAGAGAAGTAACATGTTAGGTGTTATAATAGTGAAATGTTCAGATAGATATACTAGGCAGTTACTATGAAATACTATTTAACCTGTGGAGTTAACCCTTCAATTCTAACAGCCTTCTTTTTGACTTCGTCAACCTTTTCTTGAGACACGAGATCACTGGCACCAACTGCTTGTCGAGCCAGATCAGCAAGTCTTGTTGATTGACTTTGGAATGTTAATGCTTTGCCCTCAAAGTTTTCTTCTCTGGAAATATGATTGAATGAACCAATTTTTATATTATTTCAAATGATCTAGTCTAAGCCAGGGTATTCCAAACTTATTAGGACGCGACCCCTATTTGTGAATCTTAGTTTTGACGAACCCCCATCCTATGCTGTATCAATTTCTGTGCCAAACCAATAAGGATGGATAAAGTTTCATTTACAACACAAACGACATTAATGTGATGAATGAGGTTTTTGTCTCTGCACAATTCATCAATTTCCGGAGCAAACTCGTAGGTCTGACTCTAGGACAAGTCTCACGGGTCTGTTTACCTGTTTAAGGTGTCGAGAGGAGCAATAGCAGCAGAATGCAATTGTTTCAATGAAGTTGTTGTATCAGCGAACTCATCAGCAACAGCACGAACTAATGCATCTTTCATTTGTTTCTTGACTTCTTCCAATTTTTTCTGCAGTTTCTTGGCAATTTCTTTGGCCTGGAGTAGTAAAATACAAAAATATACAATAATTTTGTATTATGTGGAAAGCAAAAATTTTGTGATTACTTAGAACAGAATTAAATTAAAAGGGCCATTTATTTGAAAGGAGATTACTGATACACGCACAATTCCTAAAAACTAAGATATTCATCATCATCCCAAATATCAAGAATTAATCAGGTTGGCATAATGCTGGTATTGGAGTTCAAAAATCTACAGTTAGACTTCATGCCCACCTTCCAATACAGGGTGTGATAAAATGAGTAGGAAATTCTCAACCAAAAATATTTCCATTTTTTTTAAATAATGGCTTCTACATATCATTGGATGGGTATATAAAAAAATGCTCAAATCCAAATACAAGGTGCAAATCTTGGAATAAAGCAAATTGGTTTCCATCACACATCTCCAATTATGAAACTATGACTTTGTCTTCTACCTCTAATAATATTCGTTTTAAAATAAATAGTAAATAGGGCTGGGCAAAATATTCAAATAACGAAACAAAATTAAATCATTCAAATTGCATTTTACTATTTGAATATCCAGAACCACAGAACTCACGTGGAGCTAAATCGATCTCTTGCTAACAGACAGTAAACACAAACTTGAGAAACTGTTGATTTTGCGTCATGGTGTTTTTTGCAGTACCAATATTTGTTATTCGACTGTTCGGTATTTGTTAAAAATATTCGAATTATTCGATCAGAAAAAATATTCGTTTCCGCCAACCCCTACTGGTACCGAAATATTCAAATTACCTCTTTCGAGTCGCCTCTTCCAGTTTGAATCAAATGTTCAAGATCTTTTAGTAATCGATCACATTCTGCAACATTCTTCAACAACGCAAATCTAGCGTTAGGGTCAGAGATTCGTGCTGCTATTCTGCATAGAAGAATTGAATGAAGACAGTGAGAAAGTACAATGAAAACATATTTTCAAATTTGAGGTTCAAAAGTAAAACTGAAGACAAAACTTACTGTCGAGCATCACCAAGAAGAGACTTAGTACTTCTAGCAAGTCCTCGGCCGCCATCTTTAACTCCAGGATTATCTAACCATCTGGCAATCTGGATGAAACAAGATTATCAATTATTAAGATCAAATTTTTTTTTGGAAATCTGCTATTTTCATTGATCTTTCACAAACCAAGCAGGAAATTTTGTGCACAAAGGATTGTTTGAAAAATTGCCTATCCTTAATTCCACATTTCTTATAATGCTGGATCAGTTCGTGTGTGGCCTGCGACACAAGAAGTATTGAATAAAATCAAGTCATGAGTTCATAGCAATAGAAAAAGCAGAATCGAAGACAGGTAAAAATAAAGACGGACTGGCTATACTTCTGTGAAGCTAAAAAAAACTTGTATCGTATAAAATGGGATCAGGCTCTATCGTGAATATTGCTTCTTTTTATTTATAAATTTTATTCCATTATTGAACTTTTGATCTGCTGTGTCATGTTTTTGAGGAATGCTTGGTTGGAGGACTGGTTTCACATAAGTAACGACAATTATTTTCATCTACATTTCTCATTTTTTTTTAAAACAAAAAAAATTCTTGGCACCCGAAGATTACACTATTGGGCAAGGAGTATATCAAGAAACAGGAAAACCTTATGTGTTACAGAACACATATCAGTCGTTTGGATTGATTATACCAGATTATAACCTTCATTGAACACAAAATTTTCACATGTTGTTAAACTTGTTGGGGTTGTGAAAAAATGGACTTTCTGTGCAACTCCTGGCCAAATCTATACCAAATGTTCAGATGGAAGTACAAGAGATGGAAAATGTCTTCCACTCCAAATATTGCTGTTTTATTTCAGATTCTATGGCATACCTTCATATGATAATTGGTATAGTATAATTTTGCAAACATGGTAGACTGGTAGTGGCAGGTAGTCTTTTGTGTCCATATTTTAAGCATTGATCTCTTGTTAAAGTTAAAATATTTTTAGTTACTTTATCGTTTGGATATAAAGTAGAAAATAGCATTTTTCACCTCCTCCATTTTTGAGTCCAATGTTGCAACAGACTTTTTACTTGCGAGAGCTTTTGCGACTTTTGCATTGAGAGCTGTAAGTTTATCAGCAATACTTTTTGATAAAGCAACAGCTTCTGGAGTGTCACCCAATCCCCTGTGGAATATAGACTTTTTTTGAGTTTGTGCCCAACTATATGAAAATTTTATTACTCTAGATAGAATATGCTATGCAACTGGCATGGGATATTTTTCACAAACAAATAGATAATTAGAAGTAGAAATATCAAATGTGGGGATCGCATCGCAAGTAAAAATGCATTAAGGTGTAAGTATTTGCAATAAACAATTAAAAAGGGCTTGCATTTGTTGAAGTTTATGTCATCATTAATTAGATTTTTTCACTATTGAAAGCCTGGTGCCAACTATTTTTAAGTCAAATAGGAAAGGGCAATCAAGATGAGTAGGCTTGTGAGATCAATCAATGTGAGAGAGAATTGTGAACTTCCAAATGTGTCATTGGGACATTCCTTTTTTAAAAAGCACCAGGAATAATAGTAAACAGACAAATTTCTGGTAGAATAATTCTATGACATTGTGATTATTTATTTTAAATATCATAACATCAACTTTACTAGTTTGTATTTGGTTACTTGGGGAAAAAATAAAAGACTCACAATGTTCTAAATTCTTCTAGTTTTTGCATCATGTCATCAATTTCATCACACAATTGTATAATATCATCACGATCTTTACAACTACCCAAACCCATGGCTATTTCTCTACCAGCTTTGGTGACATTATGCACATGTTCTGCACCTTCTTTCGGTTTGGCAGACAGGTTGGCAAGCCATTCCTATGTATACATACATGATCATTGAAAATATACCAAACTTTTACCCAAGGATGACAAAAACCCAAAATTACAAAACAGAATTTAAATCAGAAAATAAAGGAAAGTTAAAGATTACTTGATTAAACAGTGTTTGCTTGGTTTGTTAATTCTTTTCAAAAATGTTTGAATTTTATCGAAGGCCTTTTTGGTCTTACTGTAAGACTTAAATTGCTATTTTTATATTATTAAATACAATGACTGTACAGTAATTCATACTTATTCTCTACTGAACACGAATCAACTTGGGAGTACGCAATATTCAGTAGCCTAATGTTTCCCCAAACATAATCAAGCGCATTTAAAGAAATATTACCCTCGCTGCAGGCATTGTTTTGACCATTCCAGAATGAGCCATAGCTAATTTATCCATAGCTTCGATCGCATCATCAACATCTTCCATTAATTGATCAAGTTCACCATTAATTTGTGTTGCTATTTGTTTTGCTTCCGCAGAGTTTCCTTTTCCGCTGTATATGGTTTAAAAATAACCTGTTGTTACTATCTACAGAGTTTACTTATCAACATTATTTAAAAAACTATTCAAATAGATCTTGAATAAATCCCAGTAAATATGGTAGTTCCGGATCAATAAAATTAAATCAAAATCATGATATTTCATTATGACTCAGTAAAACTACCAATGTTGTAAACCAGGATCTAAAAAATTGCTGCATAGAACAAAAATGTACAACTTCTGAATGTCAGTATTACTTCCTCATATATTGTATTGTACAATTTGATTACTTTCTTTCACCAAATAAATTGACATTGTGGGTGCAGCGGTATGGTGGTTAGAGCATTGAAGATAACTATATTGGTGCAGATCTTAAACCCTAAATATACTCATTTAGTATTACCTAATTAATGGTGTAATAAAATAGTGGCTGTTCTCAGGTCAGTGGATGCTTTACGAGTCTTGTTCGGTGTGAAAATATGAAAATAGCTCCTAACAGAAAAGTTGTCTTCCAATGGAAGTACTTGGCATGATGTCACATAATTTTGGAATATACGATGACGATATCCCAAAAGGTTTTTCAATCAATCTATTCAATTGTTATTAAAATTACATACTTTGCTCTCAGATCTGAAAGTTGATCTGTCAGTGTACCAAGATGTGCCGTTGTACCCAGTATTTTATCACCCAGAGGTCCACCTGCTTGATTTCCTATTTCTTTTGCACCATCAAGAATCTCACGAAGTGCGAGTTCTCCAGGCCCTCCTAAAACAGGTAACAATATATAGAATTTCGAATCAGATGCTGTAGAAAACTTACGATAACTAGAAAAATTATTCCAACTTGATTTCACGTAGGAATAGCCAAATCTAAATAACTATTCCAAATACTAAAATTATATTTTCCGAAAACAGAATTTAGAAATGCAAAAAAGTTAAGATAAAGTCAGAGGTTTCACCATCATTTGATAGGTTGCAAAGTAAGATTTTTCATCATAATTTGAGAATTAAATTGCTTGAAATGATAATTTTTAAAATAACTATTCTAAATTATCTATCCTAATGAGATGAACATATTCACTGGTCACATTTGACAAACTAAAACAAAGTGTCACAGTCAAAATCACTGATTTGCGATGAGGACTACTCTTTTCATACGCATAATCAATTTATTAGGAAACGATAACAAACCTGCTGGTGCATTAGGGTTATTGAGCCAATTTTTAGCCGGTTGCATTTTTCTTGCCATTTTTTGTTGAGTTTGTTTCAATTGCAAAACGTTGAGGGGATCAGTGTTTGCATCATCTGTGGAAACTAGTTGAAGGAGCCTGGATGTATAAAAGAATGTTACAACACCCTTTGTACTATTTTCTCCAACCTTATAAGACAACGAATTAAGTTCAACATCCAAGAAACAAGTTAGCGGACATTTGCCCATCACAATCACATCAATAGGTTTGACAGTGGCATACGATAGTCCAATGTGCACACAGAACTCATTTCAAATACATAACAATGGTGGAAATATTTAAATTCATAATGTTTTTGTCAAATCAAACAGCTATAACTTTTATTCTGAGTGGCATGGCGGAGGTGACATTTGATGGCCAGAAAGAGAATTGTGTGTAAGATTGATAAGTACAGTCATCAATATACAACGAACACTGTGACCAATAAATTAAACTTTGTCCATATCTATTTATGGAAATTGCAAAGCAATGGAAAATAGCATCACAAGTCACAATATGTAGACGTCTAACAGGGTATGGATATCTCGCATAATATGTTTATTTAATAACTAATTTTCTTGTCTCAAAATGCAGACTAAACCACGGAATATTTATTCAAATATAGTTTATTTCGCTGCTAATTGAAGCCATGTCTATGAATGCTTCCCAAGAAGTCTAGTCTTTAGTTATTGATTTGTTAATTCAGTCACCTAATTATTTCAGTAATTCTCTCAGATATCTGAGTTGTATAATATTCACGATTTCCTATTGCCGCTTCCTGAGCTTTTCCTGGTTTATCAACAGTCTGAACAAATGCTTTTAAACCTAAAAAAAATTGAGATAGTGAGAAGATAGAAGATACTGACGAGATAATGGACTTTAGAAAAATCTGTGTAAATTCAGTTAAAAATAGTGTTGATTTAGTACGATTTTTTAAAGAAGCAGTTACCAAAATTTACCATTCCATAATATAACACTATAAATACCTCTGTCCTACTCAAACCTCTGTAGCTAGTTGGCAGGTCATTTGACCTGCAGATAATGGTCCAACCTAATCTACTTGTAACGACAGTTCATGGGACGGAGACATACCCATCGTAATGTATTGTAAACGCAGAAATATAAATTTAAATGTTCCCAAGAAACAGAAAGCTATTGCTTTTGGCTTTACCGAAGGAAATCGATGGCCTACAATATGCGCATTGCATGGATTACTTGTATTTTTAAATATTCTGCTAAAAGCTTCCCGAAAGGGGACCACGAGCCATAAAAGATTAAAAAGTAATATTGTACTAGAAATCAATCCTGGAATGTAAGCTTTGACTTGGTCCATTTCTTCTGTCAGAGCAGCTACATGATTTTGATTTGTTAAATCTTTACATCTGTCACCAATCATTCTTGCTAGAGTTGTGGTTCCTGAAATTCAACATATCAGTATGTAAAATGTTTAGCTGTACTGAATGTAAAGATATTTAGAATTTTTCTCCTTCAGATAGACACATCCCATAAGGTGGTGGTCATGATCTGAAGAATAGGCTTATGTGATACCACTCTACTCAATCATAGATGGCCTCATGCTAATATAGGGTGTATTGTATTATTCGTATAGTATATTTAGGACTGACAACAACATTTTGAGGAATTAAATGGGAATAAATCACAGTGTCATAATCAGCCAACTTCTAACTACTCAATAGAATCAGTTCATTTTACATAGTCACTTAATCGGATTATTAAAGCTAAATTAATTAAAAAATTATTAAAGATAACTATAGTATATGTTAAGTAAATAGGTATATTTGAAATTACTTTATGGCATTCCTACCTGGAGTAAGAGATTTAACAAAAACTACAAGATCTTCCATTCCTGCCACAATTGATGATTGGTTTAAGTAATCTCGAACATTTCGGCAAACTTTACATATTCTTCGAACCTAGAAATAAAAAATGAATGATGAATTAGATTACCTATTAAAAACAGTTGGCAATAAAAATATGCATATTAATTCTTGCGCTAATGAGTTTGAATATGAGTCTTCAGTTGAGTTTCATGTGAATATATTGTTCCATAGAAATTACTATATCAAGTGCCAACAGTGGAATTGGCAAATGCCAAATAGTTCAAGAATTTTCAAATAATCGAAAAGAAAAGAATATAATTGAAACATTGAAACTCATTCTAATGAAAGATTTATAAAAACTAATACATAAAACATCACAGTGATATTCATATTCTGTTAAAAAATTACCTCTGCTTCATCAAAAACAAGCAACAAATCAGATGTTCCTTGCAATATTCCTCTTGATCCAGCTATTAGTTTTTTCCTTCCTTCCATTCCTTCAGGAGTCATTTCAGCAGTTTCTCTTTTTTGATCAATAGATAAGAGTTGTGATGCTTGCACAAGCATGTCAGCAGATGTCTCAACCCTGTAATCATGGTTAAAACATGATTTACGTTCAAAATATGTCATTAAAAATCTCTGAATATCTAATAAGCTCCTTTGTTTGAAGTAAAATGAAGAGATCTTGTATGTTATTGCGAACAGATGCCAATAAATAGTTTTAGATGAATGTTTACCTGATCACCATGCAAATATTACTTATTAGTAGAAGGCTGTTTATTGGCATTTTTTATTTTGCATGGTGATCAGGTAAACATTCATCTAAAACTAAGATCTCCATCAAATCTAACATTTTCGACTTGCTAATTAAATTTTCAGAAATAAAATTTTACCCAAATAAATTGAGTTTTTTAAAAAGTTTTAGAAGGAAAGAAAAAACCCAATCCGACTCAAATGCAATTGAAGATTTCGAGAAATTCATTTATAAAGTTTATGGGCCAGTTTCCGGTTACATAAAATAACCTATTTAGCATGACGGTTGCTTTCAGTTGTAAAAAGCATGTTACTTTTCAAGAGCTGGTGGAGTGTCCAGTTTGAGTATTTCATCTTTAGTATCTTTAATTTGGTCTTTTCCCACCTGTAAAGGAAAAAAGATCTTGTAGCTTTATTGTAGCTTCTAATATTCAGAATGTTAATGATCAGCATAGCATTTTGAATTGGTCGAGGTTGTCAATGACGACCTGTATTTCATTCTACTTGCTATGATTATCACTTTTTTTCAATGTTCTGCTATTGTGTTTTGCAGCTAGGAACAAATAGCATTTATATACCTATATAAATTATATTTATTATAATATATAATTTATTATATAGGGTAACTCATATTATATAAATATTAATTTATTATATAAATTATATTATTTATATGCTATATAAATTATATGCTATATAAATACATAATACAATAAAATTGTCAATATCTAATTTCATAATTGGTATTAGTTTGTGGGTTAACATTAGGAAAAAGCTGTGATATGGGACAGTTTGTATTAAAAGTGGCTTGGTATTCTATATCCGCCATACAGCAGTTACGTCAATATTTATCCATATAATTACAGCCACATGAATATATTAAATTGAATAAGCGGAAATACAACGGACCAGGCATTAGCGATGCTTAACAGGAAGTAGGTAATCAGGCTTAGCGTGATGATCAATCATGAGTGGAACGTGGAAAAGCGACGTGATTATTTTCTGAATTCCTTTCCCAGACAACTCCCTTCAAACATCGAATTTAACAACGCAAAACGTACATATTGCTGAGAGATTTACGTCACTCATTTCTCTCGAAAACAATCCGTATTCCCCATATATGGCAACCGGCCTGTTCTTTTTTGCGCAGAAATGTTATCAGGTGTTGCGTGCTTAAACGATTGAAGTTTAGATTCTCTCGATTTAAAAACGTTATTCCGTCGTGTACGGGCAAAATGGTTGGACGTTCCCACGTTTGCGCCGCGCATGACCTAATGATTAACACTCAAAGATTGAAGACGGCCGGTTGTGGCCCAAATATTTCTCATCTTTTGCACTCAAATATCTATAGAATTTGATTAATCTCGATTAATTATCAGTATTCATACTTAATTTGTCATGATCAAAATTAAACATCAGATTTATCGGCTATTTTAAAATCGGAAACATGTCTTTTATCACGTCAATTTGGCAAAGTCTAATCTAAGTAATAATATGTAAAAGTCTAATCTAAGGCCAAACATAACAAGTAATTTCAAAATGGTGACGTACATTTGAACCCATGTGTATATCAGTGGGTTAAATCCATATGCGGGTTTTCCTAAAAACCCATGGGTTAGGGTTAATATGGGTTCAAATATCCGCAAAACAAAAAGAATTTCTATAGGTGCAATTGTCATGGGTTCAAATGTACTTGGGTTGAAATGTACGGGTACCTTTCAAATAGTATAGTTTTCTGCATATTGCTAAACTCCCAAAGTGGAAGTCTAACCTGGACTACCAGACAATTTTTTGAAGAACACATTTTATATTTAGGGATAAATTCGTTATTTCAAGTAAAATTTATGAAAATTGCTTATTTCGAAATAAGCAATTTTCAGTCTTTTCATAATTTTACTTGAAATAACGAATTTATCCCTAAATATAAAATGTGTTCTTCAAAAAATTGTCTGGTAGTCCAGGTTAGACTTCCACTTTGGAGTTTAGCAATATATTTCGAAATAAGCAATTTTCAGTCTTTTTATAAAATTCACTTGAAATAACGAATTTATCCCTAAACACTAAAGTTTGTTGTAGAATGATGAATATGAATGTTTGCACCACCTTCACATAATTAAAAAGTGGAAAACCAGTAAAGAAGTTGAAAGCAAACAACAACTTTTGCAACAATTTTAATATGAATATAAAACAAGTTGGAGGCCAATGTTCTATATGTTATGACCTTTGCTAATCAACCAATCCTGTCGATTTTTATCATATCATAAATGTCTTTGTCTTAATAAACAACTTTTATAATGAAATCAATCCTGATCTTACCTTGACAAGGTTAGACACAGCAGCTTTTACAGTCAGAATTGGATTAATGAGATCAGGCATCTGGTTTCCATCTTTACCTTGTTCATGAATTAATACAAGGGTTGAAACCTGGAATGAATAAATCAACTTTTAAACTAGTATCCAGATTGAATGACTCATACAAAAATAAATGTTTTCAAAAGACGGCCTATGAATAAAGTGTGTATATACTGCATAATACGGGATATGATGTTGAACAATAAATGAATTCATATGACTTCATATTACAGCTGCACAGAGGATGACAAGAACAAACAAAAATGGGAATTTTCCCTGCCTCTTGTTGCAAAGGTATTCTATGACTACCTAAAATACAGCAATTAAGAGTACTGTACTGACACAGTATGATGTGTATTTTTGGGTAATTTCTACCCAAACATAGATCAATTTACATAGTCACATTCACCCAAAGACTATTAGTCTAAAATCATCCTTATTATTTGATTGGGCTTGATCATCCTTATTATTTGATTGGACTTGTCCCACATTGACATGAAACTTCTTTAATTCAGTCATCCATCAAATGTCTGTCTTAAAGTGGAAATTTATCTGACCTTAAGTAAGTCTTAAACAGAGGACTGTTTTCAAACCTTGTTACTAAACTGCTGAAATGAACAGTGGATTATAGTTGTCAAGTAGTGTAAGTCAATAGTATTTTGGTGTGAACACTGAACAGTAAATCTGTGTTTATAGAGAACTACACCTATGAATTTTGTTTCGAATTTGTTTTTCGAAAAAATAATAAAACAAGGTGAATTGTCTGTTGTTGAAGTTTCATATTTATTTTAAAAATATAATTCATGATCCAAGTATGATTACCTGTTCTGCCACAGGCTCCAAGATCATTTGGATAGTTTTGGTGTGAAACACTGGCATGATGTTTGATTGTTTATTACTGTATTAATAAACCTACAGTAAATTAAAGATAACAATTAATTAATATATCAATTAATCAAAAAGTATATGCTCAACAAGAAAATATATGAACAGAAAGAAATAATAATTCAATCACAGACATCTGGATATAGGCATGTTTTTCATATACAAGGTGTGGCTAAAAAGAAACGAGACTATTGAATTTAGAAGTTTATTTAGATGCATATCGTACAATGTCTGCATTGTCTAACACATACACGCCCTAAGCCAACTCTACTTGTCCCCTTCGAAATATTCCCCATTGGCTTTTATGCACTTTTCCATTCTTTTTGACCACGCTTTAAAGCACTGTGAAAATTCTTCTTTTGTAATGGTTTTGAGGTGTCTAGTCACGCTGGTCTTGATATCCTCGACTCCTTGGAAGCGTGTCCCCTTGAGAATCCCCTTCAGCTTTGGAAAAAGAAAGAAATCGCAAGGGGCTAAGTCCGGCGAATAAGGTGGATGATGCAACGTGGTGATTTCTTTCGAGACCAAGAACTGTTTCACGCTGAGGGCTGTGTGGGCAGGAGCGTCGTCGTGATGCAAGATCCAAGTTTTTCCCGCCCAGGAAGCTCTTCGTTTCTGACGAATTTTGTTGACAAGACGAGTCATAACTTCCTTGTAAAAGTGTTGGTTAACCGTTTGTCCTTGGGGAACAAACTCATGATGCACCATTCCCTGGTGGTCAAAGAAAGCGATGAGCATCACTTTCACTTGTGAACGTTGCATGCGGGCTTTCTTTGGTCTGGGAGAGGACACACTTTTCCACTGACGACTCTGTCGTTTTGTTTCCGGATCATATTGAAAGACCCATGACTCGTCTCCTGTGATGATGTTTTCCAAGAGTTTTTCGTCTGCTTCTATCTGCTGAAGGATGTCTCGGCATGCATTCAATCGTTGAGCTTTCTGCTCATCAGTCAAGAGCCTTGGCACCATTTTGGCACAAACCTTTCGCATGCCCAAAGTGTCAACCAAAATGGTGCGGACCGTTTCTTTGTCCATCCCAATTTCGTTGGCAATGACGCGAATTGTTAAGCGACGGTCACTGCGAACCAACTGCCCAACCTTTTCGATGTTGGAATCAGTAGTGGAAGTGCAAGGCCTCCCTGACTTCGGATCATCCTCCGCATCCTCCCTGCCTCCCACAAATCGCTTGTGCCATTCAAAAACTCTTGCTCTGGACATGGAATAATCTCCATAAACATCACGCAACATCTGCAAAGTCTCAGTCGCCGTTTTTCCAAGTTTGACACAAAATTTAATGTTAATTCTTTGCTCAGTCGTCATTCTTTAATTGAACCCCCTATTGCCTAAAAACTCAATCAGATCTCGCACAGCAATTTTTTCAACAAGCAGTTAATCACATTCACTTATGGCTTCTAAAAAGCAAAAATAATTGCGATGTTGTGTCAAAACAGCTGTTGAACAAAGAACACATATTACGCCACACTGTAAAAGTGTTGATTACCGATGGTTAATCGTGTTGCGCAATCTGTGACGTCAGTCTCGTTTCTTTTTAGCCACACCTCGTAGATACTAAATCATAATAACCAGTACAACACACTATCCAAATTCCAAGAATTTCCTTTTCATTTGGCTCAATAAAATAAACACTCCATGTGTCTCACAAACGAGGCTGATGCTTCATATCACGCCATGCTTGTCTCAATAATAATCTAAATTAATCGCGGCCATCACATGACCAAAATTGCTGTTTTTTTCTAAAAACTCTCGAATGCTACGGTAAATTTTTTTTGTATCATTACCGATATTGAGGGACAACAATGTCCAGACGTCTCCCAAAGGAGGGAGTGGAAGTGGTGACTCCTCTTCGGCCCATGGGCCGGGGCCACGGCCCATCAAATTGGGCCTCGGCCCATCAGGCTATAGGCTGCGGCCCATCAAGTTGTGTAAAGAAACTATTCACTTGGCTAACACAGACAGTCCCCAAACTCATAATAGAACTAAAATGTAAAAAATCTGAACAAAATTTTGCCCTAACCCTAACCTGGTACACATACTACAGGAGTTTATTTTTTGGTTCGAATATTGACAATTTTGTAAAAATTGAAAATTTTGGTAAGATAATTGAATTTTTCCTAGCTTGATGGGCCACGGCCCATTTGGTAGGGCTTATGACAGTATAATATGCAACTTCCTAAACATTGATTCAAAAATAATTATATTCAATATCTTGTAATCCGGATAATATGTTTTCAACAGGAATGGTGACTCCTCTACGGCCCATAGGCCGGGGCCACGGCCCATCTAATCGAGCCACATGGGCTGTGGCCCATCAAGCTATGCTATCAAGCTTTTTCACATTATAGATCTATCATGAGTTCGGGGACTGTCTGTGTTAGCCAAGTGAATAGTCCCTTTACACAACTTGATGGGCCGCGCCCATAGCCTGATGGGTCGAGACCCAATTCGATGGGCTGTGGCCCCGGCCCATGGGCCGTGAAAGAGGCACCACTTCCACTCTATGTTTTAGTAACAATTTAGCATAGTTCTGTTGAAAAAATTATCATTTTGCTGTTTTGGGCAATCACAGAATCAGAGTCTCAATTTGATATAAAATAGGCTATTGTTTGAGAGAGATTTACCGGAAAATGGGCATTGCAACAAAAATATGCATAAAGTTGCCCGGTATACAAGTAGGCTTATACGATACAGCCATCCAGTCATCAGAGTTCAGGTGTCAGCTCATTGCAGATTTTTGGATTTTCTTAAAAACTAATAAGGTATCTGATACTGATGACCATATTATTTTTTTTCTAAAACTGGAGGACTGGAAGTCTAGTGACACCATACTGTCATACTGCTGTAGGCTACTGTCATAATACTGTAATACTGTACTATACAGAAGGCTGGAATGTATGTAATCCCATATATTACTGTATTACAAAACTTGGTCCTTTGGCAAAATTAGGACACGAGAAACCTATAAAGTACGGTAACTTTAAAAGTAGTCTAATTAGAAAACAGAGTTTGTTTGGGTAATGCTTGTTCGTCCCTGACTGATAGCAAAAGCCTGTGTTACAAAACTTGGTCCTTTGGCAAAATTACTGAATTAGGACACGAGAAACCTAGGCCTATAAAGTACGGTACCGTAACTTTAAAAGTAGTCTAATTAGAAAACAGAGTTTGTTTGGGTAATGCTTGTTCGTCCCTGACTGATAGCAAAAGCCTGTGTTACAAAACTTGGTCCTTTGGCAAAATTAGGACACGAGAAACCTAGGCCTATAAAGTACGGTACCGTAACTTTAAAAGTAGTCTAATTAGAAAACAGAGTTTGTTTGGGTAATGCTTGTTCGTCCCTGACTGATAGCAAAAGCCTGTGTTACAAAACTTGGTCCTTTGGCAAAATTAGGACACGAGAAACCTAGGCCTATAAAGTACGGTACCGTAACTTTAAAAGTAGTCTAATTAGAAAACAGAGTTTGTTTGGGTTATGCTTGTTCAGTTGTTCGTCCCATTACCATAATCAGTTAAGATAGCAAAAGCCTAAAAACTGACAAACAGACGTGGATAAAAAAAATTACTCAACGTCAGTATAATGCCAAATGGAGTTCCAGAAATTCGACAAGGCTACTGTAGAATGTTTGATTACAAATAGCCTATATACCGATACCGGTACTGATATACAGATATGGAAGAAATATCCCTGTTCCACTGATTGACAACTTACCGTGTGATCAACCCACACTTATCCCGTATTCACATATAATGGAACGTTGATTTTTTTAACTCACTATTGCTAACTAACGGTAAAAATATGCGAAGCGAAGGATTTTCCCATTCAGCAGGCACATAAGTTCACTGGACTCACGGGTGTGGCGCATCGTGCTTAGCGTTAAGAACAGTGGTTGGTTCCCAAATTTTTTTTTCGCGACCCCAATTTTTATAAAATCAAAGCCTACAGATACTCGCGACCCCACACCTACCGTGTTTTCCCAAAAATGAGACTGGGTCTTATTTCAATTTTTTTCCGAAAAATAACACTAGGGCCTATTTTCGCAGGATGTCTTATATTTTTATTTGTCAAAAACAAAGTTACAAAGTAGAGAATTACGGTATTTTCAAATATACAAAATATGAAAACCAATATACATTTACTTATAAATAACACGCTTTTATTCAAAATATTTGAAAATTTTATTCAAAACATAGAACATTAATCATTTAAAACGTGTAGGAGAGATTTCTTGCTATTGACCAGGTCAAAAAAAAAATTACGTTATTGACTAGGTCTTATTTTAAGGGGAGGGCTTATATTAAAATTATTTTCCAAATTCAGCCTAGTTCTTATTTTCAGGGTAGGTCTTATTTTCGGGGAAACACGGTAGAAACGTTCAGCAACTTCAAAAATTAGTATATAAGTTCCCTCTTTCGAAGCACCCCATTTGATTCATAGATACTGTTTGTGACGGGCTATCTTGGATTCTTTACTTCACTTAGATTACTGTATTTAACTCTTTTTTACAATGAAGAGAAGCAGGAAATATTCCAATAAGCTAGTAGAGCCTAAACCACCAGTATTCAATTCAGTCAGATCTCTCGTCGAATTACCAAAATTTCTTCCTTCCGATAGCAAGTCGTTTGAAATCAGTGCGATTCTAAATTCTGAATTCTATTTCAAATACAACATTTGCTCCGTCATATTGAAGATATCGCTTGGCCATTATTACTCGTCTTATCACCCCGAATATTATTATTAAACTACATCCCTTCTTTAGATATGAAAAATGACATCGTCTAAAACTTTTCATTGTTGGATATATTCGAATTGTCGGTTATTGTTCAATATAACAAATCATGTATGAAATAAGCGTATCGATACTAAAAACAACCATGTATTCCACTAGTACCTGACTTACTCTATTGTACTCTAATAAATGGTTGGTTGTAAACCTTTCTACACCCTCGGACTGTTCACATTAGATAAAATGTATTCTCGGAACGGAACTGTGTCCAAACTTTCCAAGTTCTGATTTACTTTTGAATTTACATAATACATAAAAAGCTCAATCGAACGCTTCGATTGCACAAGGCACACGGATTTCTGAAGAAAACACGAGATTCTGCACAC